AGGTGGACAGTCTCTCCTCATGCAGGTAAAAATGAAACTGCCGCCCTGAGTTTACAGATGGCTGGGCTTTTATGCTCTTTTCAAAGTTAACTTTCCATTTCTTTCAAACCACGTGAATTCTTGAAAATCAGATATTTTGTCCTTACTGGCTGATTGGGTGAAGTGTGTTCATGCAAAGTGCTACATTTCTAGTTAACTTTCATTTCTTTGAAAGCAGGAGATTTCTGATAAACCATGTGTGTATCTAAGGGTCCAATCAACTTGTGTCTTCATGATTATTAATTATATGCTCGATGATGATGATGATGATGATGATGATGATGATGATGATGATGATAATCTTTATTTGTATCCCGCCACCATCTCCCCAATGGGGACTCAGGGCGGCTTACATGAGGCCAAGCCCAACGATGCATACAATAAATGAAATCAAAACACAACAACAACATAATAAATTATATAAAGCATAAAACATAAGGACACAGCAAACAAAATAGAATTACAATAAAATAAAATTCATAAACAAAACATAGCACAGAGAGCGGGCCACACGTACAGAATAAAATACTAGGGCTAAAAACACGGCTAAAAATATGGGGTGAGACAACGATTGCGCAGATTATTTGTGAGGGAAGAACTCTTCCGCAATGGGGTTGAAAAGAGTTTTCATACAGAAGGGGAGGGAGTATGCACTAAGGACAAATGTTAAGGAATAACAGCAATATGAGGTTATATGATTAATCTCCAAAAGCGCAGCGGAAGAGCCATGTTTTGAGATTCTTCTTAAAACTTTCTAAAGTAGGGGCTTGCCTAACCTCACTGGGCAATGTATTCCAGTCAGGGAACCACTGAGGAAAAGGCTCTCTTACTTGTTCCCACAAGGCAGGTCTAAGATAATGGTAAGGGTGAAAGAAGAGCCTCCCCCGAGGATCGAAGGGATCGGGCAGGTTCATGGAGGGAGATACGGCCACGAAGGTAGGTGGGTCCCAAACCGTTTAGGGCTTTGTAGGTGATGACCTGTACCTTGAATTGGGACTGGAAGATAAACGGCAGCCAATGGAGCACCTTAAACAGGGGGGTATGATCCACCCAAAGACACACCTCCCCAGTAGAGCAATGAAGCAGGTTTTTCTCAAACAGTTTCTTAGTATCAAATATTTCTAAACTTAATTTCTTTTAGAATCCCCCTTAGCAGGATTCCTAGTGATTGAAGTTTTGGGACCGGTCTGTGTAAAGGGATCTGTCACATTCTTCTCTCCAAATTCAAGTATCTGAGAGTCATTTTCAAGGAAGTAGCCATGCTGAAGCATAAAAAGGAGGAAGGAAGATAATGGAGTGGGTTGGGAAGGGGAGGGGGATAATTGTAACAGTCTCTTTTAATGCTTTCTCTCCCTCCCAATCCACTTTTCTTCCGGACTCTTTTGCTTTAGGTTATTTCCTCTGTTGCGGAATATACGTTACCCGAGATCATTAGAGTGCTTTTGGAGAAGGAAGAAGATGGAGAGACAGCTGGGCCGATTTCCAGGCGTTTATTACTATCTCCGCAGAGGACAGGGTGAACAGCTCAAATGACTGTCACAACTTTGAAGTCGCAATTACTCCAGTTTTTATAGCATAAAATTACTTGTTTTACACATGCGCAGAAAGGATCTGACATTTACACAGTACAATCATTAACAGGTGTTTTCATATATAGTTGCCAAGGACATCTTTATCAGGTCTTGGCAGGCACGTTGTGACCCCAAACATCTGCTCGATTATGTAACTTATCCCAACTTTCACCCGTTACCCTAAGATGACACGTATATGTTCAATTCCTTAAATCTCTAATTGAATTATAACTTTTATATGCTTATAACATAAGATTTGATCAAGGCAATCTCCTCTAGTCAATCCAGGTTTAATTACTTCATTATAACTTATTTCTTAATATGAAAGCCATGAAGAAATTTACTTAGAATAAAAGCGTTTCTGAAATTGCCTGCTATTTACATTAAGTGGTCAGAGGATGGCGCTTTCTGACCATATGCCCTTAGATGTTCCAAGTCTTAGATCGATATTATTGATTTCTTTGTCCCACCAACTTCTCTTGTTGACTTCTTATTTATGTCAACATCGGATAGAACAAACATCGGCCAGAGCACACTGACCCCGTGTCAATCAATATCATCTGCAGGTTTTGCAAGCTTGCAAATTAACTCCCTGGATCAGGTAGGAACAAGAATCTTCTATTTTATTCTAAATTATTATGATTTCCCTTTATTATTTTATTTTCTCCTAATGGAGAAATGGCTGCCATACCCCCACTCATTCTACTATACATACACTTATATATAACGAAACTAACAGTATAGAAATGGATTGCCTGCAAACATATGCAGTTATTTTGAGAGCCCTTATATTATGACTTGTAATGTTGTGGGGGACAGGGTACAAGTAAAAATGATAAATAAATAAGAAAAAAATGCAAATCTAAATGGTAAATTGTAAGAAGCAGGAAAAAAACCCTCTAGTTTTCTAAGATGTATTTAAACACAATGTTTAATATGAAATTTACATTCAAAACACACTACAGCCTTACACAGCAGCCATGATTTCAATTGCCAAATACAATTCTGACTCTTCTTTGACAATAATTTTAAGCAACATAAATATATCCCCAGTTTCTTCTTTTTTCATAAGGAGTATATTTTCTAAGATTGTATCTACTCAATCAGTAATTTTACAGCAATAGTATCCATTAAAAGCAATTATTAGTTTTTCACTCTTTATTTAATATTGCTAGTTAGCAAATAGTTATCAGTAGTAAACTGAAATGTTATCTCCAAACTAACTTGCTTTTAAGGTTTAGAAGTAAATATTATTTTTAGATTAAATTAATTGGTAGCTGTGCAACCATGGACAGAATGCGCTCAAAAACATTATAATTTTCCAGGGGATCATGATTCCAACTTCACAAGTACAATTCTCCTCCATAAAACACATTTTGTGAGACCAAATGTGACATAGTCAGTAGTTTAGTGGAATCTACCTTATGCAAAAATGATCCCTATTAGAAACAAGACAGCAGCTCTTTTGGTAAAGCAGTTGATTTAGTTAGGTGATAAAAGTATCAGAAAATATAAATGTGATATTATGGATAGTTTCAAAGGCAATGGAAGAAATAGAAGAGAAGATGACCCCCCCCCCCCAAAGATGGATATAAAATTGAGTGGAAAAAGTTACTAAAATGATGCTAAGTTTCCCTTCCGTGGTGAAGATGGAATTCTATAGTTAACCGCATAGTGAAATACCTCATCTTAGCTGCACTTGACCAGTAGTGATAGAAGCAAAATAGAGCAAGAGAGAGTTCCTGTCAAAACTGGCATTGTAAATGACAAGTATCTGTTTCCCTGAGCATTAGCAACATTTGTTTGTACTTTGAAAATGTTTAGGGTTCCAAATGATTATGAATGCATAATATTGAGCAGCATTATTTGCTTTATAATAGGTACGACCTCTTCACATCAGTGATCAAAATAGCGAAATAATTTACATTCAGAAGAGTTGGATTTCACATTCATAATGAAAAATACAGTTTAGTTTATAAACTTAATTTCATCAGTCTACAAAATTATTAACAAATGAATAATGATTCATTTTAGTCCTTTTAAAGATAGTAAACAATAAAGCCTGTAACGTGTGTTCCACATTTCACCAATATTGAAATGAATATGAAATACCTATTATTAACTCATAGGTAGGTAAAAATATGCAAGTAAGTCACCTATTTTAAGTCCCGAAATAAATCTAGCCAGTATATCTGAGACCTTCATACTGTACACCAGGTGTTTGTGATACCATTGGATACTTAGAAAAAGGGAGTGACAAGGATGATATAAAAACACTTGCATTAAACATCTGAACACACATTGGTTGCAAGAATATTGCACAACAACACTGGGCACCAACCTAAGTCTGGGAAAAGCTCCACTGATTTCAATAGAAATTTAAGTAGCTGTCCTAGTTTCCCACTAGGTTCAAATTTGGCTGGATTGTGTTCGAATGTTAGTGAAAGGTGCTAGATCTATAGCAAGATCTCAAAACTGGGACAGGTTGGAAAGAGAAGAAAGACATGCTAAAGAAATATTATTCTTTAGAAGAGTATACAAAAACAGTAAATATAATATACAACAAATATAAAGAACAAGCTAGTATACAGATTCATTTTGTTACCATTTGAAGCTGTTCTAAACAATATTTTCCCTGGCTGTACTCATGCATTATAATGGTTGCTTTAAAAAGAAAGGGCTAGAATCAAATGCCTTTCCAAATTAAATCACAATATAAAGTGTTGTCTTAATTCTTATGCAACGCTTAGAATAACTATCATATCTGCACAGATGCTTCAGCACAGAATTGTAAACTATTTGCTTAGAAAATTATATACTTCTAATGCAGCATAGCAGTAAAGATATACACATATTTTGCATGATCTGTACTGTCCTTATGCACCATATTCTTTAAAAACCCTTATAGGCCTATGACAATTTAGTATCAATTGAGTAACCAGAAAAAGGCAATCAGGAATTTCAAATTAGTCTAATAAATATTCATATAAGAAATTTTCTTCTTAATTTTGGAAGAATACGTCTTCCAAAAGTACAGCAAAAATATATGGTTAAAGGCCATTCCTATACGGGAGTCCTATTTGGTTCAGTAAGATGAGTAAATATAAGCTTCTGGGCTACAACTGTTAAAGTTATGTCAGAAGTCATACAAATATTTCATGGAATATTGAATTGTTAGAATGAAAAGATTAATAGCATGCTAACTTTGTAATGCTAATATGAAGACGTTTAGAGAGAGAACTAAAATAGTTTTACAAGAATGTCTTCATCTACCAATATGTCAGACTTGGCTATATATTTCTAGGGGGGGGGGGTTGCTTTTGAATGTGTCCTTCAACTCTGAAATCCTCTTAAAGCCAATCTTGATCAGATAAGAAGCAAAACTTATGCTTTGTTTTTCTTTCAAAGTAAAAAAAAAACCCTTTATTTTAAGAAATGCATAAATTATTCCAACTTGTTCCCACAAATATGAGAGCAACAAGTCAATAATCCACAGAACAGCTGTAGAACACATCGGAAGGAAAAACAATCACAAAATGAGATAAACTTTAAACTTTAAAACATTTCATTTTTGCATTTACAGCCTTTCAGTAAAGCAATTGTATGATAACTACAACTTCATATAATGGAACTCTATTTAAAGTTTAATTTTCCATATTTTCTATAAAATCACGTTCCACACACTCTTCTAATAATCTCAAGGTCCTTGTGCCACTGCCAAAAGGATAGTCCATTCTGCGAGACTTTGAGTTATTTACGCTGTGTGGTTTATTGCTCTCTGTTTTAAAAGCACAGCTTAGTATCTTGAAGAATGGCATTAGCTGTGTGATATTTGATATGGAATGAAGATCCAAAAGAGGGAAGCTGTGGTGTTTTGTTTTTCTCTCATTGGTATTTTGTTCCTGTAAAACATGAACCATTCAGATTATTAATGCATATGTACATTTTTTTTTCACTCTGTGATGTAGTTTGGGCACTATTATTTGAACACATCTATTTGTAGTTATTACAATTATTAACTCACTCAATTCACATCAATTCAGTTCGCTGCTTGGTCAAATTTAATTCTCCTCCTCACTTCTTCCAATATTGGTGCAGTGACCTTTGGGAAATGGGGCTGTACGATTGCCACAGCAAGTTTACTAGATAAATGTCAAATGATGCTATTATTTTCATGGGATGCTGGTTTGCAAAATGATTTTTAGTTTCCAAATCAAGACCTCCCTGAACTATTGCAAGCTGGATAGCAAGTGTCCCAGAGGCAAGCAAAATTCAGCAAAGTTCTTTCAGAGCAAACATATGATTCACCCTGTCTATCAGCAGAGTCCAATTGGCAGCATTTGACCTTATCTACATACTGTTTAGTAAACTCACAGATTCAAGTTTTCATCCAAAATATGCAGAAGGTTTAATCTTCACTATTGCAATATTTACAAAATGTACAAACAGGATTCACAGGTCCACTTTCAGCTTGTCATTGCAAACCATCAGAGTAATCAAATAATCATATATAACATGGGTAGATAATCACATGGAGTCACACAGGAGAGAGATAGATTCTTTCATTCTTCTGATAGGTCATCCAGTAAGGAACAGTGGCGGATGCAACCTCTTTGCAATACACCTCATGTAGTTATGACTCAGCCATTATCACATCCCCTTAAGTATTGTTTCATGAAATTTCACAGCCATTACTCAGGTGCCATCAATCTTCCTCATGTTCATCAAACAGTATTTTCATATGACTAGAAATGCTGTACCATTTCTAACAGTTATGCCAACCTCTCACAGCTGACACATTATTTGTAAAGACAGCCTACCAACAACGAAGGACTTCCCTGTACTTATCACATCAGAGATTGAAAGCATATCGTCTTCGAGATGTTTTTGGACTGCAGCTCACTCCTAGCTAACACAGTAAATGGTGAAGGATACTTAGAAGGCTATTTCAGCTGCAGTCCATCATCATCTGTGGGGGAGTATACATTTATCATGCCTGTTCTACAAGAACATTCAACATTTCATAGCTCTGATGTTTCCAATTATAGCTTTAGCTGGCCATTCAAAACTATTTATGCAATGGTTTAACTGTGCAATGTAACACTTACCCCATATTTCAACTTTAATAAATCCATAATTCTAACAGTATGTGGTTTGCATTCTTGGTGATTTTCCATTAGATCTGAGGACATGCTATATGCCTGTGCATCGACCTCTGGGACAAATGCCCACCTATACCTAATAAAGAAGAAGAGATAACTAGAGATTAGACATCTTGTAGAAAAGACCATACCTTCTGAGAATATTACAATCAACAAAGAAGTCTATCAAAGTCCACCTCAACCCTATTCCCTTCAACATGTGGGCAGTTATTTGGCATCTGGAAAAGAATCTGTGGAGCTAAATAATAATAACAATAATAATAATAATAACAACAACAACTACTACTACTACTAGTACTACTACTTTATTTATATACCACCCTATTACCCTTAGGGGACTAAGAGCATTTTCCACATATGCAAAATAATACAAGAGACATACAATATGAAACATAAAAACATAGGCACAAACTATTAACACAACATATACATTAAAACCAAATTAAAGACCAGTTCCGCTCTCTTCTTTCATGCATGATAAGCTACCAGGGGCCAAGATTTCGATAAAGGGCCTGGACTATTGAACAGGCTGGGCCCTTCTCTCATTTCATCCAAATAGGCTTGCTTCCATATATCATCTGGTTTCTCAAACAGGGTTCTGCAAGAGATCACTAGAGTCTCTAAGACATGGTACTTTTTAAAAAGACTTTTTCTTTAAGCCTTAGATATAATAACATTTATTTAGGGGTTTCCTACTACCTGAAAATTATTTCAAAGGTTCCTCCTGGGTAATGTTGAGAAAGACTGGCCTATGGAAATTGCATACACAACCCAAGCTGAGTCTTAATTTTCTGCTACTATACAATTTCAGAAGTAGCACTTCTGTTGGCATAATGCACTGAAACAATAATTTAATATTGGCTGACAGGAAACTAAAATGACATAGACATTCTCTCATTTCTATTATTATTTGCAGGAAAGCCTTGTGAATAATCAAAGTAATAGTTATGCTGATTTGACATGGCTCCTTATGGCTCCTAAACATGAACCAAATTTTGTTTGTGGTAGCCAATGGTCTGAAGGAAGGCAGTAGGATGCTATTGAGAGAAGGAGCTGTGTGAGGACAACAACAGGTTCCCTCCAACCATCCACTCTGAATAAATTGAGAGGACTGTAGATGTCATTTCCTAGCACTCTGGATCTACCTTGGAAACACTTTGTTTAGCATACTGCTTGGCCGAGAAGGTAGATTTCTGAAGGGTGGCATCATGAGATATAGCTATGACAATGGAGCTCTGTTGCTGCAGTTTTTGTCTAAAGATGCACTGTCTCATCTATGTTACAGAGAAATAATTATTTGGAAGATTTTACTTCCAAGTTATGATGAAATCCTTTCCAAGGAGCAAATTTCATCACCAAAAGCAGGTGCACTCCAAAAGAATCAAAACAACCTTTACATCATAAACAACAATAATAACAAAATCATGACAACAGAAGAAGCAGTAATACGTAAAGCATTAAAGGCAAAACTAAAATGAAATGAGACTCGCACAAATAGATCTGTGCAGCAGACAGAGAAAAGGTTTTCTCAGTAGCACTTACACACTTATAACAGATGAAATAATCTATTTATTTATTTCTGACATTTAAATCCCGCCCTTCTCACCCCCGAAGGGGGACTCAGAGCGGCATACTGAGTAGCACAACAAGCCCTTTAAAATGTTCATACAAAAGTTTTGCAACAAAATGATGCACAAGGAACCTTCTTCAGATTACTTGCACATAGTTTCTCGTCTCGAAACCCCCTAAGAATAAATTTAGCACACTTACATTTGAAATAACTGCATCTTGTCAGGTGGGAAAGAAAGTGCAGTGTCCAAGAATTTACAAGCTGATAAATACAAGTTCAGTTCATTCTGCTGTATGTCGCCAAGCAAGAGACTGCTGCCATCGGATGATACTTTCTGTTTGCTAATTTTGCTATTGTTTCTGTGAAATTCATGAAAAAAACAGAAATCAAGGACTAAAAAGCAAATCAAGTGATCTTAAATGTTCATTCCTGGCATGTGTATATATTTTAAAAATAAATATATATACATATATAAAAATAAAGCGAAATCCATATACTGCCTAAAAATGTTCTGGTAGACATATACCTGAAACAGGGAGAAATCAGCTAGGGGATGATTTTCTAAAAATTGAAAGTGCAGCAATTTGATTAAGGCCTGGTGTCCTAGCCATATCAGCTGTTTCATGAAGAGTTATTTTAAAACACTTTTACTACATTTTTCAGCCAAAAAGTTTTCTACGGCATCTTATAAACACCAAGAATGAAACATGCCAAATAATTGCCAGAAATATTATGCAAAACAGTCTACTACAGGGATTTTTATTGAGGTAGTTCAGGATAGTTGCTTGTTTTGGTTTTCATGTCAAATATAACTTTATATTAATTCTTACTTTGCTGGTTCTTCTTCCTCAGCTAACTCTTCTTCTAGTTGTATAAATGTTTGAATCTAAATATTGGAAGGAACAAGGCATCAGTACACATGGTTAAATTAACTCTACTTAAGTTGAGCTGCAAATGCACATTTGGGGTTTTGAAAACAGATCCTGGGCACCTTCACAAAATGGCTCCCAAAAAGGCATGCCAATTTTTAAATTGATTTTATAATGTTGAATTTTATATAACAAGCATGTTATATACAGAAGCATGTACTAAATGCTATATATTGTAAACATATACTGTAGAACTAGTATTATAGAAATGATTATTTTAAAGGAGGATGCTTTTCCCTCAGAAAGGAAAACAGAAGATAACTAAATGTAGAGTGAAGCCTCCTCTATTCAATAATAGGAAGCATTGGGAGCTTTCACCTTTTGTGGTCCATATCTAGTAAGGGTTCTCCATGCCTTCATTGCAAAAAGAAAGCAGAACTTAGCTCTGCAGCATGCCCTGTCTCCAAATAACGCTTTCCCTCCTTCAATACATTCAAAAGACTTTAAAATTAATAATGGGGATGGACAACAGCTTTTTGCCGATACATGCTAAGAGAGCTTCAGATATTGTTATGGATACTTAAAAGTTTAAAAGTTAGCATCACTTCAAAGAAGGTCATTTCGCCTACTGTTGGTCCACTTTTTAATTTACATACCAGTTCTGTCACCATGATTGGCCATAATGAAGTTAGATGTTGAGGAGAAATTCTTAGCAACAGAACCCTGAAAAATAGGAACATTTGTGTAGCTACTATGGAAGTTTGTCCAACACGCAAGTTGTCCGTCAATCGCTCTAGAATAAAATTGAACCAAAAAGAAAAGTTAAGGAAAAAGAAAAACAGGAAAAAGAGGAATTTATACCCTTGACAATTTAGGATATAGATCTGAATTAGTATCATTTTGCTATATCCAAACACACAGTTCAAAGATCAGATTAATATGAGGAAAACGTAACAAAATACTATGGCTTCCAGTAAATGGGGCAATTATGCAGAGTTAAATGCTATCCACAGATACAGTTTTCACAAAGACCATCCTCCTACTAGCAAATTATGCTGCCGGTTGCTCTCCAAATCAGAATCACAAATCAATTTCAAAATGCATAAACTATAGCTCACTAAATGCTTTTGCATGGAAGTCCAAGGCTTTTTCATGTAATTTCCAACGATAGTTTGGCATTGCTTGTTAACTGAATCTATGTTAACTGAAACTATGTATAAATATTCTGAACAACTGTTAAAAAAGATTGCCTATGCACACCTCTGGACTCCAGGTTTCCAACTTAAACTCCAGGTTTTGTTTGCATTCATCTCTGAATGATCAAAAAAGTTTCATTTTGAGTAATTTTAGAACTGGACATTTGTAAGTGCTGCAAAATAGTATCTCACCTTGTATTAAGGGTAGGTAAAGATGATATTGATCAATTTCTCCACTGAAAATGGCAAAAGCCTGACGCTTTAATAACATTGCTTTTTGTTCAAAACTTGGAAAAAGTTTTAAGGAGCTGCTCTGCATATCTAGAATCAAGATCATAACTAGTATTAACATTAAGCTGCAACTTTTAAGGAAGCATTAATAGATTGTTTGGACTGATTAGCAGTTCAAAGGAACTAAGTAATGAAATCATTACATAGCAAGATGTAAATAAGAAACAGTTTCAATTTCTTGGGTTCATGTTGATTTAATCCTTCTTATAGTAATCCAAAATATAAAATATGAGAGAAGACTTACTCATCAAATCTTTAAACATAGTTTTCTCATGTGTAAGAAGATGATCAATAATGGCTCGCCAGCTGAAGGAATATGATTAACAGGTAAAGATTAATGTAATTTAGATTCAAATTGTGCCTGAATGGTAAGTCAACATTTATGTAAAATCTTACTTATTCTATGAATCTACTTTGATGGAGATTAACAGTTGTATTCCTGCACAAATTTCTTTAAAATCAAGTATTGGAAAGAAAATGTCAGTGATGAAAGACTACAGCCAGTCCTCCACATTTACTGAGGTTAGATGCACAGAATCCTTATGAAAGTGAAAACCCATGAATAAATACATTGCTGGGTTATTTACCTGAGAGAACACCTCTAAGTCTTCCAGCATCACTCTATAGTGAACTTCTGCTGAAAGCTGACCACAGGATTGTATTGGAGGACCTAGAGATTCCTACAATGGTGTTTTCTCTAGAAATCTTGAGGCCATCCAGGATGACTGGAGGAAGATGTCTAGAGTCATACTGGAGGACCTAGAGATTCCTATAGGGAACATTTAAAGTCAAATTGATGAATAATCAAATCTGCAAAGGTGAAAACCGCAAATGTGGAGGGATCACTGTGTTCTTATAATGAAGCCTAATGCTGTCTAAATGAACTTACTACACATTAAAAGTGCTACTACAAGTTAAATTTTATCACTATGATGCAGTGGTGATTGCACTAATTCAGAAGCAGCCACCAGACTGCCTTAGCCATATATCTTACTGAATGCAGGAAGTGTCCATCTGGAAAAAAGCTGGGTCCATAAACAGCTCCAGAACATCTTTCTTCCATGCCCGTTTGGTATAGGCATAGCCACTTAGGGAACTGAGCAACTGAGTGCTAGCACGGAAGCTTGGAAGGTTGTAGGCACTGTAAACACATATACGAAATATACAGATCATATATTTTTCTAATATGTATGGCTCATACTCCATAAATTCCTTATATCAATGTTTTACTTACGATAAATTCCATTTTGCTTTACTGATTAGCAAGACATAGAGAAGTTGATAGGAAAATCAGTACATTTTCTTTCCTAAAATAGGTCTAGTTACATCACCAAGGAAAACATTTGTGAAATATAGACAACATCGAATGCTATTCTTTGGCACCTGAAAACAGAATAGTTGTGTTCCTAGGTTATATTGCTGGAGTTAGAAAAAAAAGTATCAGCAAAATAAAGGTTTGAGGAAGTTGGAAAGGAAAGAAAAGAAGACAGAAGGGAGGGCGGAAATTGGAGTTGAAAAGAAAGTTCAATCTGCCAGTCTGCTACTCAGAATAGCAGCACAGCCAGAGCCTTGATACTCAACTGAAAAGATGAAAGTGGGAGAAAGGTTCAGAGGAGGAGTTTATGACCCGAAGAGAGAAAGATAAAACCTTGAAGGGAAAATTGAGAGCTCAACAGGAAGTGGGGGGGGGGGGATGTATGCTACTGAGAAGGAATGCAAGCTTGAAGCTTCTAAACCCTTAGTGCCTGCTACTAAGAGAGAACAAAAGGACTGAACTTTGTGTATGCTCAAAACGTTGTGACTATAAAAAGGGCCCAGTTGCATCTCAGCCTTGTGACACAAATTTTCCTTTGATGGTCATTCTCAGGTTTGTTCTGATTAGAAATAAAACTATAGTTTGGATCCCCTCTCTATAGTATCTAAATGGAAGGAAGAGATACCCAGGACTCACAAAGCCTCAACAGTATTAGGAATTAAACATGTTCTTGAGTCTGGTCATAATGCATTTGACAGGAAACTACTAATTTTGTGCTATGCTAATAATATAATATATTATATATACATATAATATTGATAATATTATAATATCAAACAATATAATGCTAATAATAATACAAGATAATATAGAATAATATTGCAATATTGTAATACTAATATATTAAATATAATTAATACTGATAATATATAATAATATATAATGATATACTGTTTAATGATTGTATATTTGTATGTTTTAAATTGTAATGTTTTTGATTGTGAGCCGCTTTGAGTCTCCGCATGGAGAGATAAAGTGGGATATAAATATAAATAAAGAAATAGTTTCCATAGTTCCATCTGAACTGATATATTGTTGTTTCAAAAAATCCAAAATTTAATCTTAAAATTATTCACATTGCATTGTGTCGGAATTGCATTAAATCTATAGACAATTCACTTCTAAGAATCAAAAACATCCTAAAGAGCTAGAGAACAATAATGTTGAGAATAATGCTAATAGCATACATTATTATTATTGTTATTGTTATTATTATTATGTTTATTTAAATCCTGGTTTTTCTCTCCGTACATAGACTCAAAGCAGTTCACAATTAAAAGCATTACAATACAACTTAAAATATGGAAATATACAAATATTAAAACAGTATTAAACATCATTAATATTAATCTATAAAATATTATTAATATTAATCTATAAATGCATATATAATCACAGCAGCCCCTGACATGATCTTTAAAACCTTCATCTTTAAATGCCTGTTTGAATAAAAAGATTTTAGCCTGCCACCGGAAGGACAGCAGGGTGGGGGGGGGGGGGTCATTCTGGCTTTCCTGGGCAGAGAGTTCCAGAGTCGAGGGGCAGCTATCAAGAAGGCCCACTCTCCTGTTCTCACCAACCGAGCTTAAGATGGAGGTGGGACCAAGAGAAGAGCCTCTCCTAAAGAACTCAGGGCCCTGGCAAGTTCATTCAAGGGAATGCGGTCAGCCAAATAGCCTGGACTTCAATCGTCTAGGGCAGTGGTTCTCAAGCTGGGGTCCTCAGATGTATTTGGCCTATAACTCCCAGAAATCCCAGCCAGTTTACCAGCTGTTAGGATTTCTGGGAGTTGTAGGCCAAAAACATCTGGGGACCCCAGCTTGAGAACCACTGGTCTAGGGCATTAAGGGTCATAACCAGCACTTTTAATTGTGCCTAGAAACAGACTGGCAGCCAGTGGAGTCATTGCAACAGGGGGGTTGTCCGCTCCCTATAGCCAGCCCCAGTTTAAAAGCCTGACTGCTGCTTTCTGGACCAGCTGAAGTTTCCGAGCACTCTTCAGAGGCAGCCTCATATAGAGTGCATAACAGTAATGGGATATAACTAAGTGTGTACCACTGTGGCCAGATCTGGCTTCTCAAGGAACAGGCACAGCTGGTGCACAAGTTTTAATTATGTAAAGGTTCAATGCTGAGACTGGGAGGACACCCAAACTGTGAACCGGTATCTTCAGGGGGAGTGTGACCCCATCCCACGGTATATGATTCACAGAAAGAGCTATTTACATACCTGTGATTGCGTAAGTAAGGAAACACATAATACAGCAAACGTGAGATTAAAGGCACTGCTTTCTCTTTTTCATCACTTCGATAAACCATATCCAGGAGAGAAGCAAGAACCTAAAGAAAAAAGCATTCCACATTAAAAAGGTACAGGTCTTTCACTATTAGTATGTATGTATATGCATACCAGCTACTGAACTACTATTTTTTGAAAGACACAGGAGATGACCACTCACCTCTGCAAGGAGAGAGAGGGCTTGAACGCTGTAGACTGATGGGGCAGAGGCAGAAACCATTGAAGAAGGTATTGCTGAAGTATCTGTGGAAAAGACAGTTTTCGCTTTTAGGGCAATGCTGATTTTTTTTTTAACTGCAACAGTATTAGTTATTTAGGGGAAAGCAATTGGATAGAACGTAGGCTTGATCACACTGCAGACAATGGAATAAACTGGGCAAAATCAAAGAAACTGCTGTGAGGTAAAAGGTGAAATGTCACCTACATTTCATATGCTTCAGCAATCCTCTCCCAAAGCTGCCTTTCTTTGAAAAGAAGTGGCATTTCCAAAGCAGGTTTTCAACCCTATCTCCATGCCATTACTTTTATTTTTGAGTTGCACTAAGTAAAACATTATTTTCTTGAGTCTTTTAAAATGCAAATCTATGCAGAATAAGTTCAACAGGGCTCATTTCTAGGTGCATTGGAAAGGACTGCAACTATAGTGGATTTTCAAAAATCTACCCTATGTTTTTTTGCACATGGCTCACACATTTTGACTAAAAAATGGCTTTTGTTGATAGTATACCTATTATGCCTTTAAATAGAAAAGCAAGAAGAATGATTAGTGCAGAAAGATGCTTTGCATATATGTTAACTCCTTTATCCTCAAAAATGGGGGGTGGTAGATGGGCACGTTTTTAGTCTCAAACTCTGCATTATAATTGTCTGCTCACTTTCTCCATTTTAAGGCCAGAAAATGTATGCAGACATAGGATTAACAATCATTAAATTGCAAAGGTAAAAGTGGTGTCACTGTAGCTGGTGTTAACCAGTATGGTAACTCACGGTATCATCCCCATGGATCTCCTCCCGTATCAATATCAAAAATAGCAGAAAATTTGACAAAATCAGGGACTATAAAAAACCAGCAAAGAAAGCACGTCCTTCTAGCATTTGCAGAATGAACCACATGATTTGAAAGTTCAAAACATACATTACGATAGAGTTTGAACTTTGATGTTAGCTGGGCTTTTAAAAAAGTATGGCTATGTATAACTACAGGGATATTTTTTATTGCAAAAATTCTACTGAAACACTGCACACACATTTTGATGCCACTGAAAGACAACTACTTTCTTATTCAGGCAAGACTCTGGAAACTGACTTCAGTAGCAGCAGAAGGAGGAGGTCTTAACTGGATTGTTTTATTTGGTGTGGTTTTTTTAAGGTGTTGTTACTTTGTTGTAAATCACCTTGAGTTCACTTCAGGAGATAAAGGTGGAATATAAATCAAACAAACCCACTAATCCTTTCTCCTTGATGGTTGTTGTTTCTCTTACCACACAAATCATCTTCAACATTGAATTCCTCTAAAGTGACCTGAGGCTGGGCTTTCACCTCCAGGTTCCTGCTCAGCCAACTAGTTTGTTCTAAGGAGGAACCAGCAACATTTCCCACAGCTTCCAATATTTTCTGTGTTACTTCCTAAAAGGGCAAAGAAGGCAAGACAGGAAAGCATTTGTTACATACAGAAAAGATATAGGAATTTTTGGTTTATGAAAATTGTATTATTTTATTGTAATAAATGTAAAATGGAAATACAACAATCACATTATTTAATTCATGAAACTATGTTCGCATGATGCTAAGCAATACAGAATCTCTCAAAATATGCTGTCATGGCAAACTCAAATCAATAAACTGTTGCTGGTGATAAGTATGGTGGGTGTAAGTCAGTGAAGTTATTTTGATAAAAGTAGAAGTCTTCACTCCTAAGTGGAGCTTAATAGTACAGCTAAAACAAATAGGAAAGATTTTCCCAACCTTTCAGAGTACCTAGTTATGGTATTTTCTGATTATCTATAAAATCATGACACAATTTTTACATTTTAATACTAGCAATCTTGATTATCCCATTAGGTGACAGGTTACAGCTGTGCTCTGCTGATTTCAAAACATAGAACAACCAAGTTGGAAGATATCTTAGATGTAATTTAGTCTGACCCTATGCACAATGCAGGACCGGCCATGAAGATGGCATTTCCTCTGATAAAGTTTAAACCAATTCAAAAATTTGGGATACTTTCATATGAATATCTCCTATTATTTTAATCATGCATTGCTTATCACCAATATCATGTAGCTACTCCAGTTAACTTTTCTCAATTAATGGGACTTTCCCTCCCTGGTGCAGCTGGGGGAGGGAGAGCAATTTGCCTCCTCCCCGGATAAAAGAATAGATGGTTCCTTTGGAACCATCTGGAAAAGGGGGCAGGGCTGGCCTTATTGTGGGCCAGCCCTATTCCCTCATTCTGCTTCAGAGTGTGGACAGGAGAAGATATCCAGGTCTGTTGGGGGTCACTATCTTGATGATTTCCTCTTCATAAGAAGACCGGGGACGGGTGAATGAAAATTCCATTTACTGGCATTTCATCAACTTAGTGGTCAATTAGGAGTTCCGTTGGCAGAAGAAAAAACAGAGGGCCCGGACATAGCCCTGACTTTCCTTGGGGTAGAATTAGATACCAGTAACCAGTATTCCAGGTTGACCCCTGAAAAGGTGGCAAATTTGATGTATAGAGTTGAACAATTTTTGCACTGCAATAAGGCCACTCTGAAAGAATTCCAAGAGTTAATTGGCCATTTAAATTTTGCGTGCAAGGTGGTGGCACCCGGGAGAGCATTTTTGCGCGGATGTGTGACGCCATTTCTGGTGTGGCATTGCCTCACCACCACATATGGGCGACACGTACCATAAAAGCTGACCTATCAATTTGACTTGCCTTCCTATCTAATTTTAATGGGGTTTTGTTCTGGCGACAGGAATTGGCTCTAAAAGTTGCTTTGAAAGTAGCTTCAGATGCTGCAGGTTCAGTGGGATTTGGAGTCTATTTTGAGAGCCATTGGTGTGCAGAAATTTGGCCACAGTCCTGGCACGCTTTGGGGATCATGTCTGATCTAATCGTTTTGGATTTTTTCCCCATCCTAGTAGCAGTCACGCTATGGGCTGAGAGTTTCACAAACTCTAGAGTTCACTTTTGATACGACAACTTAGCTACAGTACAGGTCATCAACACTTTAACATTCAAATCCACTCGAGTGATGAGTGCCTTAAGGCACTTCACACTCCATTGTTTAAAATTTAATATCCTGTTTCATGCCTTCCACATTGCTGGACTTGATAATTCACTTGCCGACACCCAGGCTTGTTTGCAGATGGAGTGCTTCTGGCAACTGGAACCCAATGCAGACGTTCAGATGGAATGCATGCCAGACCATCTTTGGCAGGTTGGCATGATGAAATATTAATGGGTATGGCATCTGCTTTGGGACCAAGTTCCAGAAAATCATACATGAGGGCCATCAATGAGTTTAACAAATTTAGACAAGCTTACAGCCTATCCAATGCAATCCCTGTTCCATACAAACATATAGCACAGTTCTGCGTATATTCCAGACGACGTGGCTTTGCACCACATTCCATTAGATCCAGATTGGCAGCGTTGGCTTACTGGTTTAAGGCACAGTGCCTCCCCGATTCCACCAATGATTTTCGGCTACATAGAATCATGGCCGGTTGGACCTGTCAACATGGCTCGTTGCAAGATGATAGAGAACCACTTACCCCTGACATTCTAAAAGGTTTAAAGTTCACATGGCCTAAAGGTTGTGTGACAGAATACGAGCAGATTTTGTTCCATGCAGTCGCATTGATGGCCTTCTTTGCGGCCCTTAGAATCAGTGAGCTAGTTGAAGCTTCAAAAAATGACACGTCCCTGCGTGCATTGTCAATGTCTGATGCATTGATAACACACAACGGGCTTGAGATATTGGTTTGATCATCTAAGACCAATCAGCAGGCCAAGGGCAGCGTCATCAAGCTATCAAAATGCAGTGACGCTGATTTATGTCCTATTATATCCCTGACTCACTTCAAAAGGGTTAGGGGGCAGGCACCTGGATATTTATTTTGCCATCACGACGGTACACCATTAACCAAATACCAGTTTTAGGTGATTACCGCCAGGACACTTAAGATTATTGGTTTGGGACATCTGAAGTTTGCAATCCACTCTTTCCGTATTGGTGCAGCTTCCTCAGCCGCCCTATTGGGTTATGAAATGGAAACAATTAAATCCCTGGGCAGATGGAAATCCAGTGCCTTCAGGAGATATGTTCGTACACCTTTGTCATAAGTTTGTTACCAGTTTGTTATTTATTGTTTCAGCTCAGGAGTGGGCCCTCTCCTGACGTTTTGGTCATTCATCTTGGTGGCAGTGACCTTGGCCTGTTGAAAGGTAGGGCCCTCTACCTGCAGGCGCGGAATGACATCTGTAAGATTTGGCAGGCATGGCCCCATGTTCACATAGCATGGTCAGCGATCATTCCACGCCTCAAGTGGGCAGGAGGCAGTGATGTCAAGAAGCTTGAAAGGGTCAGGAAGCGTGTGAACAGGGCCATGCATACAGCATTGACCCGTGATAGGGGGTCTTACAGCTATCACAACCAGATAACTCACAACAAAACACACTGCTACCACACAGATGGAAGCCATTTGTCGGATTTTGCTAATACTCAATTTTTAGAGGATTTGAAAGAAGGTGTTCAGTCAGTGTTAAAGGACTTGGTGGGGAATGGGAGCAAAATAGACATTTGCCCCCAATCCATGGCGTAAATAGATTAGAAATACAAAGGTTGGTGTATACCTAAGGCATCCCTTAAAGGGTGTGGGCCATTACACAAACATTTACCTAGAGGTTAACTTTAAGAGTGAGGTGATATTGAATGGTCCAGGAATGGGGAGAGTCTGGTCTCAATAATCTGAGAGAGACTTCTCTGGACGTTTCCCTTAGAGGCTGCCCGGGTTTAACTTACCAGGGGACGCTACCTCGGCTTTGCCACACCAAGTTCAACTGACACCTAAGTTAGTTTAGTTAAAAGTTAAATAGGTAACAATCAGTAAAGTTGCCCAACATTTAAATCCAAATTGCTGTTGTCTTGTCTCGGCATTTTGGGGATTGGCAGGCAATTACTGTGATTAAGAAAACATGGAAGGGCTACAAGTAGGAGACAGCAATGTGAGTTTAAGGCATAGTGATTTGTCCATAACATAGCTGACCAAAAAGATGATAATGGGCTGATTTACCATAAACTATTAAGTTACATAAATGTATGAATGGAAGGCATAGGCTACCTGCAGGTCTTTCTGATCCTTCTTATTTTCTTGGTTTGGCGTTCTAGTCACAAAATCATTCAGGGTGCTATAGAAGAACAAAGATAAATTAGCAAAACCATCAACTGTAGTTCATAAATGTATCCAAGCAATTTATGTCATACCTGAGGAGCAGGAAATATCCAGGTGGTGCCAAATTCAATTGCACAGATTCCTTCAACACTATCAATAATGATTGGAAGTTTTCTTGCAAGGCTGAGATAGGAAGTCTATGGGGATAAAGAAAGGAATGCCATGGATTCTATTGGAAATTGCCGATGCCATACTTCTCAGATCATGTAATGACCAGTATGTGATGTTCTTTGCATTAAATTTTAGAAGCTGTCTAACTTAGACCAAAGATCTTCTATGTGGTAAATAGGCATAAGATCTCTGGAAGAGTACTGTGGCAAAATATTATGTTTAATAGGAAATACAAGATGCCATTTACCTTTGTATGAAAGCATAGCAGAACTGGAGCACTGGGATATCCACTAGGGTAGCCTTCTGCAAAAATAAAAAATGAAAACAAATTCAGTCTAATTCCTCTAACAAAAACATACACACAGATAAGAGATTAGCTTTGTTTACGGGGATTCAAACTAAATCCTAAATACATTTACTTGTTAAAATTAAGATTTTCATTTAGAGAATTTTTTTGTATTTGTTTTAGAGATGGATTTAAAAAAAAACAGAAATGCAGTATCTTGGAAAACTGAGTGTGTGATTTGTAAAGAGGTCTGAATACAACCCTCAACTTTGTACGTTGCATATATTCACTTTAAAAAGTGGTGAAAACAACAAATGTAGAATTCTTGTTCTGTTCCTATCAGTAGTTTTAGGGTTCTCGTGAAAACTTTCCACAATAGTTAAAATGCAGCTAGGTTTTTTTTAACTATGTCTTTTGCAGGCTGCTTGACTGAGTTTGTGTTTTATGTTGTTGATTTAAGCTTTGGTTTCAGATCCTGTGTTTTATTGTTGGAACCTGTCTTTATACTAGTTCTATGAGCTGGGCTTTTCTGTCTTGATAGAGGAAAATAAACAAACAAAATACTGGAATGGGAAAGTTCTTTATTGTGGTGCATTTTTTGACACCTAAAGCAAACCCTTTGCTCAATCTAGATACAAAAGGATGGTTGGCAACTACAACACATGTTTTTGGATTTATTTTAAAGGACTCAGTAAAGTGAACTGTGTTACCTCTTCCCCTTTAATCTGGGGTGGCTTCTTGACAACTTCTTTAATTAGCTGCAATATATTATCAGTCTTCAGAGTATTAAGTGCACAAACCAGATCAAGGAGTACAATCTGAGATGAACTCGCAACAGGAGGAATCTGAAATAAGAGTGCATTATGAAAAAATACTTGTCACACAAAACTGCAATACACATTTTCTAGGATATTCTCTCTTCTCTTATTCAGTAATAAGATTTCTTTTTCTTGGGAACATGGAAAGTAAACTTGGTGTATGAGAACTCCTGAAGTGAATATACTGACAAGTGTCAATGTTCAGTCATGATTACTTGTTTTTCAGAGAATAGTCGGCTATATCATCAAAGTCTTTGAATAAATCTGGCTTAGAAATTCTTACTGTAAATTTAAATAACTTGATTTGGAAAGCAGTTGACCAGAAAAGACTCATTTTAAATGTGTACACTATGAATTAAAAGGCAAAAATAAAGGCTATGTTAGTATCTTAATACAACAAAAGGCATGTTTCAGTTTGAATGTCTGGTAGAGTTGAAAAAAGCAGAAGAACAACAGAAAAAAGGGAGGAAGACCAAGTCAATAAAAGAAGTCACAACTCTGATTTTGCAATACCCAAGGAAGGCTGCTAACAACAACATGTTTTAGAGATCTGTCTTTCATGTGACTTGAGGGAATAGAACACACAAAACTGATAAAGGAGAGAATGTATTGAAATGGGTTGTCCTTTGAACAACTGATTATTAAATAAGAAATGAATGAAACTGCTTTTTACTTTTTTTTATTCTCCCAAAAATCAATTAATTTGCAAATTAAAAGGCTGGCGATAATCTCTTATCACAATGGCAGTCCCATTGGGTAAAAAAGATTCAAAATGACAGACATTTTTTTTTATTTATTATTTAAAGCATTTATATCCCGCCCTTCTCACCCTGAAGGGACTCAGGGTGGAGCATAATATATATATGGCAAACATTCATTGACAGAATAAAACATTAAAATCAGTTGTATCCACTCTAAAATCAAATTGTTAAAACCATCTCAAAACAGCCATATTTCTAGGTTCTTGTGGGGTTTTTCGGGCTATAGGGCCATGTTCTAGAGGCATTTCTCCTGACGTTTCGCCTGCATCTATGGCAAGCATCCTCAGAGGTAGTGAGGTGAGCCATATTTGTGTTTGAAATTTTAGCCTTGACAAAGGTATCTGTCTCTTGCCTTTGTCAAAGTACGCTTTGAAATACCCTAGAAGTAAATTTTTAAAACTTTGCTTACACCTGAGATATTTCAGATGGACTATTATAATGATTTAGGACATTTAACTGCATGTTAGGAAGTCTAAAAGTCAAATGCAGATTATGTGTGTGGAGTGGTGAAAATGTCTGTCTCCAGATCTGTTACGCAGCACAAATCACAGTCCACTCAGCAGTTCCTTTGCACAGTGCCTAGCATTCATGTTTAGTAGGCAATGAGTCTTGTTCAGTCTCAGTGGGAGATATCATTCTTTCTTTCATCATCTTTACCTTTGTTTTGTTGTGATGCTTATGAGATTTTTTGCTGTTCCACACTGCTGCCACTGCAGCTACAAGCTGCACTCCAAGGTGTCCAGTTAGTGGGTTCAAGAAGTCCAGGATTTTATTTTTTAATGTCTGCAAAACAACATTAAACAACATTAAATGCTTGTTGTAGAAAGGAAATCCATGCCCATGAGCTCTATTCTTTCAAAAAGAGCTACAGTACACACGTAGTGGGAATATATGGGGGTGGGTCAAAAAGTAATGCCTCCATTGCTCTAACTTTTATTTCTTTCACAGCTACTGGACTATCTATGCATGATATGATAGAGGTAACATTACTTATGTAGACTTTTCTTTTTCCGATTGACTGATTAGAACCATGAATCTGAAGCTAAAAGCCCCCTGTTTGAAGAATGTTTATGATTTGGCACCTTCTGACTTTTACCTGTTTGGACCTCTGAAAGACAACCTACATAGTTTCAGATTCAATGACTTGAATGATGTTAAAACAGGCTTTAAAATCATGGGTCACGAAGCAAAACCCTGAATTTTTCCAAAATGGTTTTGATGCCTGGGCTAAACAAATGTGTTCAGATTGATGGTGACTACGTTGAACAGTTGTTTTGTGTAGAGGACAGCTCAGACTATGATCTGTAGCAACTTCTGCTGTTACGTTAATTCATAACATTTTTATGACACAGGAGGCAAAACTTTTCGATCCACTCTCTTAGATACTTTTTCAAATGCTGAAAATTAGACTGCTTATGAAACTGTTACAGTTGCTGCCAAGAACATATAAGAATCCTGTTTATGTGTTTTAGCAAACCGTACTTTGCTATATAACATGGTTCACTGAATCAGGGTCTAATTACTAATCCTGCTAATTACTCAAAGAGATTCCTGACACAAACAATTTAAATACCTGCATTAAAAGTAATTTCCCATATCTGCAGGTGCTAGCTCAATGCTTATGGAAGGATAGGATGCTGTTGCTAGCTTAACTTTGATGCATATTAAAATGTATTTATTTTTATCCCACTTTCCATAACACTCAGGGCAATTAATAAACACCTTTAACAAATTAAAGATAATTAAAACATAGTAATCTAAACCTCAAAGATGACTTCAAGTATCAAAATAATTAAAGAGCCCAATTTGGAGCTTCCTAAAATTGTGTTCACTCAAAGCAGTGAAAGTGGTAACTAATGAGCATTCACTGCATTTTCTGTGGGGGGGGGGGCAAGAGAAACATTGCAACACTGAATTTTGAATTAACTTTACTTTTGGTTTGATAATATTGTAAAATAAAGAGCTACATCCATTTGTTAACCCCATTTCAAACCCAATGAATTATGGCAACAGGATTTATATAAGGACTTAACAAATCTTATTGATTCAGTGGATCTAATTAAAACTAATCACTGGGCATAGCCCAAAGTTTTAATGCAAAAATTGCCCTTTACAAGTACTATTCTGACAAGTGCATTTCCCCTCCCCCATCATCCCAGTTTTGCAGTTAATAATAATAATAGCTTTATTCTTATATCCCGCCACCATCTCCCCAAAGGGACTCGAGGCAGCTTACAGGCAGCACAAAGTGCCTAAAAACAAACATAAAAATGAAGCACAATATAAAATACGATAAAAACATCAAACTCAAATTCAATAAAGCTGAGGTGATCAATCAGTGGCAGTAAGCTGCTGTAAACATGGGCAATCTGTAAACAATAGGAATGGAATAAATGCAAGCTGCAACAATGGAAAGAGGGCATAGGACAAAGTGCAAGGATGTGTGACTACTGTGCAGCACAACTAGGGACTAAGACCCGTCGCAACTGAGAGAGTACGCTGGCAATGCTGCCCTAGCAAAGGAAAAACCACTCTGGCACGGAGAAAGAGGCTGGGAAAGGGGCGGGGCGAGAGGCGCAGCCTCATGACGTCAGGACTTGCTGGCAAGGTTTGCTCCCGCAGGAGCCTAGTTTGCGGCGGCTCTAAGTATTCTCAAAAGCTTGTTTGAAAAGTCATGTCATCAAATCCCTATGCAAGGAGGACAGAGTAGGGGCTTGCCTAATCTCCCTGGGGGGGGCACCACCAAGAAGGCCCTTTCCCTCGTCCCCACCAACCATGCTTGTGATGGTGGCGGGACCAAGAGGATAGCCTCCCCAGTAGATCTTAGAGCCCACGTCGGTCCATAGGGGGGATGTGGTCACAAGGATAGGCAGGGCCCAAACTGTTTACACCAACTGCATCTTCTGAGCCATCTTTAAAGGCAGCCCCATGCAGAGTGGATTGCAGTAATCCAAACTGGATGTAAGTAAGGCATGGACTACCGTGGACAAATCAGATTTTTCGAGGTACGGTTGCAGCTGGCACACAAGCTTTAACTGTGCAAAGGCCCTCCTGGCCACCACCAACACCCGAGTGTCAAGTGTCAGCGCTGATTCCAGGAGCACCCCCAGACTGCAGACCTGTGTCCTCAGGAGGAGTGTAACCCTGTTGAGCACAGGTCACCACCCTATACCCTGATCAGCCTCACAACTGGCCAGGAGGTCCTCTATCTTGTCTGGATTAAGCTTCAGCTTGTTAGCCCTCTTTTCCTCTCACTTTCTCCTTTGTCTACTTGACACAAAAATATTACTTTTAAAAATGTCTTGCCTGTGATATAAACTACCCAAGCTGACTGAGGATTCTTACTTTAGTAGCCTTAAAGTAAACTGACGAAGATCCTTTTGTTCCAAGAAAGTCTGCTGGTCTTTTTTGGGATTCTTCTTTTTTTATGACATTCCAAAGGAGAGCCATGGTATTAATGATGCAGGGAAGCTCTTCCAGAATGGCATTCCTGGCATTTCTTAGGCTTGTTGGGTCAGCACTCAGAGATGACTAGAAAAGCCAATACAATAAAAGATTTTTTTAAAAAAAAATCCATGTTATACATATTCAGGAAGAAGAGAGATCACAGGCAAAATTCTAAATCAGTTGTCAAAAAAATTGAGGAAAATTGTTCTCCACAATAAAGGCATTATAAACCAGATTTTAAGTTAACATATATTAAAAATATGTACACTGTTGTATGGAAGTCCTATTTATGCATAAATAAGGCTATGAACAATTTCTTTACCACTCTTCATATAATCTGTAGTTTAAGACTGTTCTAAACCAGACCTTCCATTCTCAATATTGTTGACCCCACTTGTGACAGCTGCCTTGGCTTTGCAAGCAGATTTAAAAATAAAGTATAAACTAAAACATGCTGGCAATTATTTCTTTCAGATTGTGTAAATGGCTTTATGTTCTTCATTTGATATTATAAATGAAATTCCTGTATAGATTTGAAGGCTTTCTGAAGCTATCTGACTGCATTTGACTTCTCAAAATATTAGAATAAGCATTTAATTAGCACTGTTCAATATAAAGTTTTTCCACTCCATTTTAACTCCAAAAAGTAATTGTTTCTCAACACATGCAGAAGGATGACAGAACACTTCCAGATACACCATTTCATCTGATAACTGTCAGAAGCATGTATTTGACAAATTATGTCAAAAGAAAATAAAGGAAAACAGGATAGTTACCTTTTTTATTTGGTTTGGTTGATCCAAAAGGCAAAAATGACCAATAGTAGTTAAACCTTCCAAAAGAGTTAGAGGATAATCTGGTGTAATGTTCTCCCTTTTACAATGCATGCTATAGAGAAGAAAAGTAAAAGAAAAAATATGGTTTTTTTTACACAGAAAAATCAGGGAAGGATCTATTAACCAGAATCTCTCTGCTACTTCTACGGGCAGAAGCACCCAGTCCAAGGACTGCATGCCCACTCTGAGCTCATCTTCCACCCCCTTGGACCTGCATCCAATTTTGGCAAAACCAGGAAACTGCACTACCACAAGATTCACAGGAAACAATTCTCCCCAAAACAAGGTGTGACCCAGGAGGTTTGGGGGTTATGGAAAATGGCTCCCTGACTCTCTGGAGCTACCCATCATCTATTCCAGGCACGGGCAAACTTCGGCCGTCCATGTGCTTTGAACTTCAACTCCCACAATTCCTAACCACCAGTAGGCTGTTAGAAATTGTGGGATTTGAAGCCCAAAACACCTGGAGGGCTGAAGTTTGCCCATGCCTGTAATAACTATTCCCTTTCCTTTACTCAGCCAGTTACTGTTACTGCTTATCGAAGATCCTTCCCCAGTTGGCGATTCTTAAAATTAAAAAAGAAACTGAAAGGAGCTGTGTAGGTGGTCTTCATTCAAAAAGAGGGAGGAAAATATAATGAAAACAGTGGAAGGGAAGAGGAAAATACAAAGCACTGAAACAACAACCCTTTTTAATCACAATTGGATAATGTTTTCCCTTCCAGTGAATGCAGAAAGCTGAAAATAAACCATGGTCCTAGTTCCCAGTGATAACATCTAGCTCTCAGAGGGGAATTCACTCATCCTTGCTTATAATTTTTCATCCCTGTGTTGAACAACAGTGAAACAATTTTAATAAAGAATATGTCAATTTGACTAGAAACTAAATGAACAAAATATGAAAAAAGCACACATTCATTGGCAATTCCTTACCTTACAGACACTTTGGATGACATCTTTTGAGTTTCATGCTCATACTGTTTGACAAGTTCATCCAGGTTCTTGCATATCTGTACAATAAATGGTGCCACTGTCCATCCTAAAGACTTTCCAAAGTAGGGCAAAGAGTATGCAACCAAGGCCACCCATGCTGGATGCATGCCATAACCATACTCTGGTTGTAAGCCTCGAACAACAGCAGACACAAATAATCCTTGAGAGGTTATAGGGTGTGGATGCACATACTGCATGGCACTAATTGCCTCCTGAAAATTCATAACTTTCTGCCATTCCTTCGATAGACCTGGCTGGTTCTCAAGTTCCTCCTGAGTCTGCCCCAGGTGGTGCTCCAAGACTATCAACACTTGCAGGAGCTTAAGAAGCTCAATTTGTAAAGGGTGCTCACTCCAAATCTGATCACGACCAAAATTGATGAGGCTCTCTTCAAGGACACAGATATCATTGCAGCCATTAGTCTTATTAGTCATTACATGTTCGTAGCATTTCTGACTAACATACATAGAAGCAGACAAGGAAAGAAGGACAAACTCTTGAATTTTGCATCTTCCAAGCAAGTGGCGAATAAATTCTATGTTTTTGCCCTCTGTTGATTTAGCCATTGCTGCCAGCTGTGTCATCATCCTGATCAAGACTTCAACACTTTTAACTTGGACATCCCTATTACCAAGTATATCTTTGTGCATCACCTTTAAGTAAGAAGGATAATAAGAACGCAGGAAACTCAGACAGAGGTATGTCAGCAATTCTATTAACAATGAATGGGGACACACGGTTGGTGACTGAGTCTGAAGCTTTCCATAGAAACTCTGCCCCACAAGAGCTTCCTGATGGCGAGCTAGAAGATTGTAGATGAGATTCAGATGAGCTGTTGAGCTGGTGTCCATGCTAGTAGTGGCCACAGCTTCAATAAACTCTCGAGGATTTGTTTTGAGCACAGCCTCAAGTACAGAAAAAGCATATAGGACCCTTTTGGAATCATACGGCTGCAGGTACAAGAGAACATGCTTGAATAGAGCCTCAACTATCTCCTGCTTCTCCTTCTGCTGTTTTAGCAACCTAGATGTAGTAAGTGCTTGGAGCTCTACATCTATCTCCTCATCACTTGAGAGGGATTCTGATGCTTGTGTTTTTTCAGAATCTGCGCGCACCAGGTTCAGCATGGTACTGGATTTGGAACTGTCAGGAGGATAAATATTAGATGAACCAACATGTTTCAAGATTTCTTTGCCATCAGTTGAGGCACTGTGGGTATCTTCACTGCTCATATCTTGCTGGTCCAAAGAAGGAGAAAATGATGATGTATTATCACTGTCAACTGGCCCAGTACTAGTGTCAGCAGACTCTGTATGCTCACTGTTATCCTCCTCGTCCAGGTCTTGTTCAGCTTCTGCACACTGAGAAAGATTATTAAGCAAACATTTCTCTGGATCTTTTTCAACTTCAGCCCATATAGCTTCCCTGTCCACTGTTGTAAACTGGCTCAATGGCAAACTTTCCTCAGAACTGCTTTCATGTAGTCCAGAAGCACCCAAGGACTCCAAGAAGGAGGTTTTTTTCTTCTTATACCAGAGATTCATGTCTTCTAAGGGAAAATAGTTAAAGAAAACCCTGTCACTTTTTTCAGTAATGAAGGAATCCTCAAACAACTATTGAATACTTTCCTAATTATTTGAACACTGCATAAGATAGACGATGTGAATGAATTCTTTTCATTTTCAGCTATGGAATACATCTATTTTGAGCATCTGTTTACAAGTATATTCTAAGAAAGTGGAAAGACCCTATATGTTTCGGGTTCAGGATATGTGTAAAACCATATCCCCTCAATTTGAGCCTACCCAAGTTTTAAGATATACAGAGATATGGTTTCCTTTAGTTTTCCCTGAAGGACATCCATTCTGATGAGGCCTTTTCAGGGACTGTTCCCAGGTGGATAAACTCCATCACATTGGGGGGTGGGTGGGCTTGGCTGTCTCTCACTTGATTCTCTTTTCACTGAAAGGTCAATTTTTTATTTAAGTAGGTCTTTGGCTCTTAATTTGAAGTAGCTTTTAATAGGGATATGTTGTGCATGTGTCTATTTTAGTACGTTTTGAAAACAATGAAAACTTTTGTGTTTTTAACAGAACTGGATTTTTTTTTAAAAAATGCTTTGAATGGCTTATTTTGACTCCACTTTTTTAAATCAATTGTAGGCCACCTTGTGCTTTTTGCCAAGAACAATACAGAATATAAATAAAAATAGTTTAGATGTTTTTATCATTTGGGAATAGGCTATGTTTGTGTGCATGCACCTTCAAGTTGCCTGTCAACTTATAGCGATCCCATGAATTTTATAGGGGTTTCTTAGGCAAGGCAAAAGTAGTGTGACTGGTTCCTTTCTATGAGTACAGACTTCCTTATATAGGTTTTGGTTTCTATATTATCACCTGTTTTGAATCTTTAGAATAGAAGTCAAAACTATTATCTTAGTTGGCATTTCCCAACAACACGTGCCTCCCATGTGTAAGATTTTGACTTTAGTTTATATATTCCATTCAACAGCTTCAGGTGACTCCCTGTCTGAATCATTTGTTATTCTGACTTTTCAGCTTAGTGACTGTTTTGTTTGTCACTCAAGAAACCAACAGAAGGCAAGAAGGCCAAAGACAGGTTTCTGAGAGAAAGGCTACAGGATGAATAGAGATGAATTTAGTACATTTGCTTGAATGAAGGTGTCTTGAACTGTTGGAACATTTGGTAAACCTAATAGTCCACTGTGCTGACTATAGATCCCTTTTTGTTGACTATCACATACATGCCATCAGAATTCATATAAAATTAAACACATGATTGAAAACATATCTACCTTAATAGATAGTAGATTTGTCTTTCAATTGACAAATCTCTATGAAGGGGACATAGCAAGACAATGTTGATTTCATTTAAGTAAAATTTCAGTTTAAAAATACTCTTTCAAAATGCACTTGAAACTTCTTTTGAGCATTACTATATTTTTGTACAAGTTTCACATCTTATTTTATTTAAATATAGCAAATTTTTGGAGAAGCAGATTTTTAAAATCTAGACTTTAAAGTTTCTTCACTTATATATTTTTGTCTATACAAACATCTGATCGATCCAAAATAAAGGTATAGCTGGTCATGAGATATTTCATATTGCTTAGTTAATTGAACAACTTTATATTGTTTATGGCAATGAAAAAAAATGTAAATTCTATGCTTAGGTTTTACAAGAACAGAGCCTAAGACTAAAACTTCTAGTATCATACCTCTTCCATATAAATCTCTTGATGTAATTCCATTTGAAATACTGCATTCAACTTCAGTCAAACCACTTTTTAAAGGGGTGTTTGTGACAGAAAAAAAGGCTTGGAAAAGAATAAAAATGGCGAAGGGGAGGCTAAAGCATTTTGGGTCACTAATTGGGGAGGAGAGATGTCAGAGATTAGGGTGAGGATGGAACTTTTTAGATGCTTATTTTATATGAAAGTAATGTGGGATCTCCCATAAAACTAGAACTTAGGTCACAAAATTAAATAGCACTGCTAGAAGGCAATAGGCTGTGAACAGACAAAGCAATATATTATCTACACCGCTCATTTTGAACTTACAGAATTTACAAAAATCATGGTGATAATCACCACTTTATATAATTTGAAAATTAATTAATTAAATTAACATAAAGAGAAATCTCTTAATGGCTATTAGCCACAATGCTTACAAAATGAAAGCAGCATGTCATCAAATGTCACTTCTTAATAGTCTGGAGGTGAGGTGCAGGGAGTGGCCATGACTCCTGTATTTTTCGGATTAATTTGACTGGTGCATGAGTGAGAATTTTGGAGCAGATGGAGCCTACATCTGATCCAGGAGGATTCCTGAAAAGTTCAATTACCTGCTGAGTTCTTCTGTTTGATGCAGTGGATTGAAGTGCGCTGTGTCTTGGGATGAAGCAAAAGCAGAAGAACAGGCTCAAGAATCCGTGCAACATCATTAAGTGACAAGGCTCGAATCAACCAGCCCTGTGCTGCAGCACCAATTGCACCATCTGAACAATTAAGACTATCAAGTACAACAAATAGAGACCTGCATGGAAAAATTGCAGTAATTTTAATACAAGAGAGTAGTGATGTAATGATGCTAAAAGTCTGAGAAGAACACTGGGAAACAGCTTTAAAAGGGACACTGAGGCCCCTTCCACACAACTGAATAAAATTCCACATTTTCTACTTTGAACTGGGATGGCAGTGTGGACTCAGATAACACAGTTCAAAGCAGGTATTGTGGGATTTTATGCATGTATTTTCTGTTATATAGCTGTGGGGAAGGGCCCTGAGTTTTGGATAGTTTATGTTGTTGTATGCCTTCACAGTGATTCTGATATATAGCAACTCTATGGTAAATCTACTATGGGGTTTGTTTTAGAAAGATTTGTTTAGAGAGGGCTTTGCCTCACTCTAATCCTGGTCTCTAAGGTCATAGTCCAATGTTCAAACCACTACAACACACTGGCTCTCCAGTTTTGGATTGCTTTCCCAATAATAATGATCCAACAAATCCAGGGAATAATAATGTCTTTCATCAGATTGAGGAAAGTCTATGTTTTATCTGGTAAGGAATGCGACAAAGGTATAAGCAACACCTAATGTTGTTAAAGGAGATGAGTACATGTGCAACCTGAGCCTTGTATCCCTTGCAGCTCTGGTGCACCTCAATGATCTCCTCTAAATGGTTCCGTTACTCTATTGACTGATGCTATTCAATTAATAATTCAACTGCCTAATATTTATATATAGTTAGGACATCAGGCAAATTAATTAAAAATACCTGTCAAAAGATCGATTGTGGGATGTCACCCTGCTCCCTTGGATTTCTCTAGTCAAATGCCACATGATAGAAAACCGGAAGAGTGCCTCCAACCTTGTTCCCTTGGCAGAAAAGAAAATCCAAACATAGTAAAAACTAGTGTGTATACATCTATATACATGCTAAATCAAAATATTCAATTACAAAGATTTTTGACATATGGAAGATAAAAATAAGCTGGCATCTGGCCCAAAATTGAAGGAATACAGAAGGCAGAAAATAGCAGATACAAGATACTCTTCTGAGATAATGTAAATAAGATTAAGACTATAATCTTCAACGTATTTACTGGAGGATGTTCCATGAAACATAGCATATATTATTTCCAATAAATATGCATAGGGTTCTGATATAGCTTTTGCTCATTTCCACCACCAAATATGGAATTTGCATTTGAGTAAGATTACACAATTTTAATATGGTATTATCTCAGTACAAGAAGCCTTACTTTATCATGATCCAATAAGGCATGACAAATGATGTCTTCGCAAATATTAGCTGAGGGAGCTAGACAATGTAAACGGTAGAACAGCTCCACACAAGTGTTGTGATGCTCTCTTTTCTCATTGTTTAGCTGATCCCAAAGCACCTGGGCAACTCTCTGTAACAAAATTGGAAATCAAATGAACTATTTCATCCAGGTTAAACAAAATGAAGTTGTGTATTTATATTTTCTGTTACTACATTGAGGAGCTACCTGGGGCCCTCTATATGTTTTGGTTAACAGTCTAGTAACCAAAAAGCTTTATAAAGATATATTTATTTGTATTTTCTAATGCTAGGTTCATCTTGGTGACTCAATGAAATGCTTCCAGTGGCACAAACCATGGCACCTGCTTGTCGCCAATCTTCCCATCTAAGAAGTTCCTCCTCCTCCTTTCCCTACAAAGAGCTGCTTCTGAACCGAATTAGATGTAGCACAGAGAGCAACAATTGGCAGAGAAAATCAGAGAAAACTGAGCAACTTGTGTACATAGAAATACCAAATATCTAAAGCCACAATTAGATACACATACATATATATATATATATGCGTGTGTGTGTGTGTTATGTGCATGTGAATGTGTATGCACACCCTAATGTTCATATCATTATTGTTTTGAAATGCTTACTTTTATATTACATTGTGCTGCATTGTCAAGAGAATTGTTTCTAAGATTATTCTTTTTCAGAAATGGTTTTCAGAATTCATTTGGGAAGGAAACATGAAGTCAAGTGGGTTCTATCAGCATATTTTGATTTCCTTCTGAGCTACTTCTGTAATAGATGCTGGCTTGTGTAATTATTATTTATTTATTTCATCTACTTATACCCCGCCCTTCTCACCCCGAGGGGGACTCAGGGCGGCTTACAGGAAAGGCACAATTAGATGCCCAAAACACACAACAAACAATACAAAATATAACAATTCAACAATTAAAATAAAACATCAATACCTAATAAAATCAAATCAAATGCTTAGTAATCATTACTAATACTAGACTCTAAAAGATAAATTGTCAGATGTCGCTCTACTTCACTGGACAATTAGGATAAGTATCCTAGAAGGACATCATGGGTGGAATTTGGTTCTGTTCTGTTTTTCAGTATTAGCTTTGTATATTACTGTGCCTAAACGGTTTTTACTTCTGTGCCTATATTATCATTAGTGTTTTCCACCAGTGGCAGAGCTGCCATTTTGTTGAATTTAGGAGATGCAAGGAAGGTATGTTGTAACAGTTAGGCACTAAAAGGTTTTCCACTACTTTGTCTGGATTTGAAGAACATGGATCTGGAGATATCCCTTCATATTAAAGCTTTCTGTGAGTGCTATTGGGAATAAAAAAACAATTAAAAAGGAAGCCCCCCTACCTGATAGAACTCAGTTTTTTCTGAAATTAGCTTCAGAACTCCAGGGGCAATAGGAGGAACTGTGACCATCTGCAATCTTCCAAAGAAGGGATTTTGCCCAGGAATTTTATACCGTTTCATTCGGTCTTCAATAACCAGTGCCAATGACTGGGAATGGTTGATTATTTCTAGCAGGACAGAGATGGCCACATTTTGAATGTAGCAGTCATTGACACAGCAACATATTGTCATCAAGGATTTGAGCCACATGGGGAAACTGGATTCACAACCTCCTGAGGAAAGCAAACAAATTATAGCTATACTTTTTCCTATTATAACGGACAGGTTATTAATTATTTTTTTCCCCGGTATTTCTATCCCGTTCCTTCTCAGCCCCCAAAGGGGGACTCAGGACGGCTTACGTTTGGCAGCAATTCAATGCCACTACATATAACAGAGCAATATAATAACAATTAAAACAATAAGTAAAACATTCATTAAAACAGTAAAAAACAGTATTAATAGCCATATCATCATTCCATTGATATTCCCATATTCATAATTTCCTATTTTAATAATGGTAGGTGTGATAAAATAATCCAAAACATCCTCACCAATCAAAAGTAATCCTTTTCAAAGCTCTATCTAGCTACATATTCACCTCCCATGACGTTTGCTTTTTTCCAATTGGTATCTAACATTCAATTGATGGCCAGTGATATTAAGCTTACTCAGCCCTTTATGGTTCATATTTTTTTTACATATTCAGATTTTGTATTTCCATAAATGTTGTGGTTCCTCCATGCATGGCAGAAGCTTCCAAACTCATTTGTTATCTTTCAGCTCAACCAGTCACTGACTTTCACATGGGAATATAGATCAGAAATACCTTCCTACCTCCTATTTTTGTTTCATCCATTTGGAACATGTAGCTAACCAAGCTGTCTTCTTCATGTTTACTGAGGAAGAAGACGCACTGTGTTCAATGGAACTTACTCATAGTTATATGTACACTGGATTGCAACCTCAGAAGATTAGTTCATTCATAAAGAACTCATCATGCTGACCAATTTTAGATAACTTTTTGATCTTTTATAATCAATCTATCCAGTATGCTCAATCATTCATTATGCTTACACATTTGCTGCCTGTCATACTGCCCTTGTGCACAATTCTCAGAGAAGCTTCCCACTATCACAAAACATATTGACTTTGCACTCTTCTATAAATGAAAATTCCTGCATATTGGACTAATTTGGAGATGTCAATGTACAGATTAATAATATTTTTAGTAACTCAGAAAAGTGATGACAATGCTGATATTTAGGATAAAAGATCCACTTACCAGGCACTTGAAAAAGAGTCAAATAGAGCTGCTCAGTTTCTTCTTCAGAAAGATAGACTGGGAATGTAGTACAATCCAATAAGAGGTAGCATACAGCTGCAAATGCTTCTCTGCAGTCCTCTTTTATGTCTCCCAAGTCAAGCATAACCTGGTCGATGTCCCATTCTTCTTCCTCTTTCACCCTCTGCCTATCATGGTCATCGGAAGGAGAAGGAGGGTCCAGACCTTTCTGCTTAAATGGTGATCCTCGGGCAGTGAATAAGTCTGACAGCATCTGCTTAAACTGAGGCACAGTGATTTGCTTGGAGTCCCATGAGCGTCTTTTCTTGCCATTATTTCCAGAGAGTTGGCGGTGCCTTCCTTTGTTCTCCTCGTGCCCTACAGGTATTGCAGGAATATTCCCATTACTGGAATATTGCAAATCAATTGCAAATATGTATTTACTGGCAAACTTTGCAACCAACTCTTGGATACAATGCAAGGCCTTCTGCATGCTGCCACCTTTCTTCCAGACATCATCTTTCTCAGGGACTATTCTAGGCATTCTCAGGTGCAGTGACAGTTCGGGCGACGAAGCACTAAGAGCAATGCCACTGTCTTCAGACTTGAGTGGAGGAAAAGGAGTGTCTGGCTCATTCTGAAGAACTTTGGATTCTAAAGTCAGTTCCTGGTTTTCTTCTTTTGCAGGGCTCTGAAATAATGCAAAAAGGATGTGTAGCTTATTGATTAAATAAGAATAAATGGGAATTTAAGAATACATTAAATACAAACAAAATACAGGGAACTGAGCAATGCATTTACACAAGATGCACTCATGGCAGTGCTGTGATGGAATTTTGGATGTCATGTTAATGGTTTTCAGTGCTGTGAATACACAACGTAAGTTCTTTTATTAGTTTTCTGGAAAAAATAGCTGCTTGGGAAAAATGACAATGTGGGATGATATGCGGGAAAAACCCCTGAAAATGGCCCTAGTGCCATAATACCTGGAAGTGTGAAAGATGCAATAAAACAGCTTGGCCTCATGAAGGCGGTAAAGCTACTGATCCTCACAGTACATTTATTTTCATTTATCGTGTCAGGAACAAACTAATTTATTTGAGAAAACACAAAGTTTAAAAAACTTGGCATTCTATTAAAAGTCCTTTGACCAATAGCTGGCCACTTGGAGTGCCTCTGGTGTTGCTATAAGAAGGTCCTCCATTGATAACACAATATCTGAAGACATTTTCACAACTAAAATAAATTTGAAAATGAGAGCCTTTTTTCTGGACTGTCTTTGTGCAGTCATACAGAATTATGATAATGTTTAACCAAGACAAGTGTCAAGAAATAATATAAAATATATTTAATTTTGATTCTGCATGTTTTTAATGTATTGTTTCCCAACTTAAATTAAAATTTACAAATTTGCCACAGGAGGTTTTCTTCCATGGCAAATCAATAGGTAAGCACAGATCACTTGTACAATGGAGGACCTTCTTACAGCAACACCAGAGGCTATCAAAGTGGCTAGCTTCTGGTAAAGGACATTTAATATAATGCCAAGTTTTTAACATTGTTTGTGGTTTTTTAACATTATAACTGTATTCTCAATTCACTTCTGACATGATAAATAAATAAAAATTGATAACTTAATTTTAAAATATCTTTTCTTTTTGTACTTTTGAAAGTTAGTATCTACTTTCCATTTTTGATACTAATTATTCTTTTTTCTTGATATTACTAACTTTCTTGATATTGGTAAATTATTCTGTTTCCTTGAAAAGAGAGATGTTTTCCTTCAGTTTTAATGGCAAGATTCAAGATTTTTATTCTCAGACAGCTGTTTTTTAATCTATTCTTTAACTTCTCTTTTTTTACTTTGTGTGTATGATCCTTTGTTAATTATTTAGTTTACTGATATGCCGTCACAGTACACTACTGTATTTCATTTTAATTCCAATTTTTAATGCCAAAGGCTTCTCTGTTTCAATTAAAAGTGATAGATTTATGATGACTGATAGAGTCTGTGTCTCCATCTGGCACAAAGGAGGAAGCCTTGTTCAGGAATTTATGATCAGAACGTTTGGGGAGTAGGCAGCAATTTTAAAAAGGAAAGAATAGGAAAGTAAGATTTTCAACCCACTAATTAATCAATCTAGAGTCAGCTTTAAATGCTAATAAGCAGAACACGGGGAAACAAACAGGTTTGAAGTATCTTTACTTCAAACAAGTTAATACTGGCTTCTTTCTGTTTCATTCTTATACTTTCAGTTATGGCCCCAAATAATTTTATAACTGAAGGAAATTGTTGTTATTCCTGAGGCCACTGACAAAGCTTTATTTAAGAAAAGCTGAAAGTATAATAACCATAATATTACCTGGACACATGTAATTTAGAAAAAAAACCATAAAAATATCTTCAAATGAAGAAAGTCCCCTGCCATCTAATGACAATTGTTAAGTGAAATTTTCTGAGGTTAATCTGTTTACATGTAACTTACCTATGTTTAGGAATGTATATTAATGTATATTAATCCCAATCCTCATTCTATTTTCCAACACAGATACTGGAATAGTAATACTAATATAGGACAATCACAATTTCCTCTCAAAATACATTTTTGTATGTGTCAGGAGCTACAAGAAACTGCAAGTCACTACTGGTGTTAGAGAACTGGCCATCTGCAAGGAGGTTGCCCAGGAGACACTTGGATGTTTTATGTTTTACTATCCTGTAGGAGGCTTCTCTCATGTCCCAGCATGGGAAGTTAGAGCTGAGATGGGAGCTCACCCTGCTCCCTGGATTCGAACTGCCAATCTGTCGGTCAGCGATCTTTCCGGCACAAGGGTTTAACCCATTGTGCCACTGGGGGCTTCCTCAACATACATGAAATAAGTATCTTAGACCAAGTAAAAGGGAGCAACCAGAAGTCTCAGCCCACCTTTGGCTTGTTATTTATATCAGAATTAACACAGAATTAAAACAAGGTGTTTTAAAATTCAATGTCGGTTATAATATTTAATTGAAGGGGCAAAGTACTATATAATCAAGCATTCTACTATGGCAGAAGGTGCACAGAATAGAGTCAATGGATCTGCTCATTAAAAGAAGTGATACATCCACTTTCAAAACACGCAGAAGTAGACATCACATACATGTGTCATAATACGTACAGTGTCTGAGCTTCCTGTTTCAGTACCTAGATAGGCAGGAGGCATCTGGACTTTGCTAAGCACTTTGAAAGATGTCCTTAAGGCATGAGTGAGTTCTGGTAAACTTAGAGTTTCCATGTTTTCAAGGAGTGATTGCAAAATACAGCTGAGCATCTGTGGCAGATACAGAGACTGCACTTCAGAGTAAAGTTCCTAGAAAAAAAAGAAAGCATTTTAAGTAAGCAATCAATTAAGGTGTGGTATACTTCCTTTGGAAGTTGACTTTTATAAAGTTCTATAGACACATTTCCTGTAGTCAAGACACTCTAGTCCAGAGAATATTTAAAGAATACACCACAATTGTCCAAAATTAACAAGGGTGTAAAATAAAGTTTCTAAAATATTCCAATCACAATTCTGTTCTTTCATAGAACTGTCAGCCTACTGCTTTTTTTCTTTTGGCACAAAATATCATAAATATGTGATAAGGTGAGCAAATCTGTCTGTTGATTTCATTGCATTTGATACTGCATTTGAGTAAGAAATTAATTTGGCTGGCCCTACACACACTCTCACACCTTACTTACCAATGGTATCACATCTAGAAGGAATACCAGCAGTGTGCAGAGTTCTGAAACTGTTGCAAGCGTGACTATATGCTTAGTGTGAAGCTGTGTCTGCACTGATGTACTTCTGCCAATAAAAGGGGAAAATACTGTTAAGAAACATTTCATCAGTATTTTACTGTGTTGATACTTTTCTGTTGCTTGTTAATAGAAATTTACAGTAATTTTAAAATGAGGATCCTTTATCTGAAATACTTGCAGGACCAGTTTGGATTTCAGATTTTTTTTCACATATTTGAGTTGTAGTGTATTTACATATACATAATGAGATAACGGGGGGATGGGATTCATGTGTAAATATGGCTTTCTAACTTTACTCACAACTAGCCATCCCCTGCCACGTGTTGCTGTGGCCCAGTCTGTGTATATGTGTTTTGTGTCTGTATATATTTGTATGTGTGTGTGTATATATTTGTGTATATGTGTATATATGTGGTTTTGTGCAGGCATTGTAATGTATTTTTAATTTTTTTTGCTTTTAAATTCTCTTCCGCTGTGTTTTTCAGTATTTTTATGAGTGATGGTCACTTGTTGGCCTGATAGGTGTATTGTGTTCATATTTGGTGTCAATTATCACAGTGGTTTTTGAGTTATGTTAATCCCACAAACGAACATTACATTTTTATTTATATAGATATGAATTTTGTGAATGCAACAATGTTTGTGAACATTGAACCATCGGAAAGGTAACAGGGCATTCTCTCTGCTACTCATGTAGACTGTTTTGGATTTTAGACAATTTCAGAATTCTGAATTCCAGATAAGGAATACTCAAGTTGTATTTTCTAATCTAGATAATTTCTTTGGTAACTCTTGCCAGTAATTTTTTAAAATGTTCTGCTCCAACTATTCATTATGCTTCACAATGAAACACACACACAATTTAACTGATATTTAAATTGTGGTAGGACAAATGGAGGCACATTTATGGAGCAAATCAAGCAATTTAATGAGGTATATTTTTCAAACAGTTTTAACACTTAGTTCTATACTCAGGACTGAAATATTCCTTTGTAATTATATATATATATATATATATATATATATATATATAGTTACAACTTGGACCACAGTGAGAATCTAGTTGTCAAGCTCAATCGATAAATACTGTCTAAGTACAGCGTAAAGAGATCTCATATCCAATATCATACATGTAATTTATTATCTATAATAAATTGATATTTTGGCGTTTGAAAATGACTACTAAAAAGGGCATTAAAAGTAAGTAACTAGAGCAGTTTCATGAGTACTCATGCTAACTTCTGAACTTACATCAATTTATTTTAAGATTTAAATTTGCATATATTTTAAGATTTAAATTTGCATATATTTTGAAAACGAATACAGTATTGCAAGATTGTGTATGTTTATGAAAACTCCATAAAAAAGAACAGCAACGAAATCATTAATTTTCTGTCCCTCCTCTCGCTAATCAACCGTCTCCCTTAGAAAAACGTCATATTTGTGAAAAAAGTTAGAAATGCACATTACCTGAAACAATCTTCAAAACATCTTGTCATATAATCCCAAAGAAAATCTGTGCTTAAGGATGTGATCAACAGGTTAACTGTTTTAACAATTTCGGATGCATTCTTGTTTTCTCTTATAGCACTAAAATGAGAAAAAAACAAAAAGTAATAAGTATAATATGTATCTGTTGAACTCTTTAAAAAGTGTTCTAAAATAAGTGCTTAGTTCTGAAGATAAAAATGTAAAAACAAATGCATCTTTAAAAAAAACACTGCCAAAGTAATATGGGTATCATGATGTCAAAGCTTGGAACTGAGTTTTCAGAAATTCAACTGAAATTATGAACGAACCTAGCAGTTCGAAACATGCAAATGTGAGTAGATCAATAGGTACCACTTCAGTGGGAAGGTAACAGTGCTCTATGCAGTCATGCCGGCCACATGACCTTGGAGGTGTCTATGGAAAACTCTTCGGCTTAGAAATTGAGATGAGCCCCAGAGTCAGAAACAACTAGACTTAATGTCAAGGGGAAACCTTTACCTTTGCTATCCCCTCCCTAAATTTTTAGGGCTTGATGTATAACTTCCAGCCCAATCTCATCCTCTTTGGTGCAGCCAGTGTACTGTCTACATTCAAGTTTAATTGCTGGATTCTGGATCACAATGATTCTAATGGATCATCTGTATACAATGGATATTGTAGCTGAAATGCAGCTGATTAATAAGTTCTCATTATAAGTCCTTCCAGGGACATGAGAAAGAAAAACTTGGCAGTCTTCAGTTGGGTAAAGTGATATCAGTTCAGTCCCAAACAATTTTCAAATTCCAGAAAATTTCTTCTGGATACTTGCAAGATTCTCATCAGTAATGTGACAGATGTGCTGAGAAGAAAATAATTCAAATGAAGCCCATAATAAAAACAAACGAAGGAGACGTGTTTTATCTATCTAGCAAGATTAGCATTGATTTGAACAAAAAATCCCTGCAGTGTACCTTATAAGAACATTGCCAGCTTGGTTGTAGCTGAGCTTAAGATCAGAGCCCAGAGTCTCTTTGCAATAGCCATAGAATGCTCTGATCACTTCAAGAAACAAATCAGCAACAACCGGCGGCCCTGCAACAAAAGCGAAAGCATTATTTTTGAAATAACTATAGTTAGGTGGTAATTAGTAGTAGGATTTTATTTCAGAATATAAGAATAAGAACTATTAATCAAACTTTTTAGCTGAGAATCAAGAACTGGACTATGTCACCAGAATCTGACACCTGGAACATCAAAATTATGTATTGCAAAGTTTTGCTTTATTTGCTACTTCAAAGAATGAAGAAATATCATACGTCAGCTGGAGTAGGCTCTTGCCTAGAATGCGAAGAGCAATGAGCGCTTTGCCTAAATTACCACAGACTGCTGCACAATGCTACAATTTGTCACAAGTATTCTTCAAAGTATCCTTTAGAAAGATTAAAAAATGTATAGTTCTAAATTGTGCTACCAATTTAAAACCAGTCACAACTGCATCCCACCAATTATATTAACATCACAACACTGGCAACCAGGGCGCACACACAGAGAAGCAACTGTCACATTAAACAACTTAGCATGATAAACAACCTCCAACTGCATTCATTATGACCCTCAAAAAGTTAAACAAGTGCATAGCACATAGTTATGATAGTATTCGCATATATGAAAGAGAAAAAAGAATCAGGAATTCCAAGAGAACAAGAAAAAATATATAATAACAACTTTCATATAAAAGTGAAATATGAGTGTTTCTTTTCATAGTAGCCCCATCTTTTTAGCAATATGTTCAAGGTAGGTAATTCATAAATTTTGACTGAGATATATAATATATAATATTGAAAAACAAAAGTAATCTTATTGGGTTGTTGTAGGTTTTTCGGGCTGCATGGCCCTGTTCTAGAAGCATTCTCTCCTGATGTTTCACCTGCATCTGTGGCAAGCATTCTCACAGGTTATGAGGTTTGTTGGAAACTAGGAAAATTGGGTTTATATATCTGTGGAAGGTCCAGGGAGGGAGAAAGAACTCTCGTCTGTTGGAGCTAGGTAATGTTTCAATTGGCCACCTTGATTAGCATTTGATGGCCCGAGAGTTTTTAGGTGTGGCTTGTTATTGCCTGGAAAGATCCTTTGTTGAGAAGTGATTAGGTGTTCCTGATTGTTTCTTGTCTGGAGTTCCCCTTATTGATTCACAAATTTAAAGAAAACCTTCAAAATTCACAACTGGTCAACAAAAGCAACCTGTTTTAAAGTTTGAGAAAAAAATGTTTGCTGCATGATATATACCAATTTGAAGCAAAATATCATGAAAACATAAAATATATCAAGATGCTCACTGAAGTTCTTTTTAAAAACTGATATATAAAATAGTGGCGGCATTTTTCTCATGGAATACACAATAATCTTGAAAATAAAATACAGTATCTTGCTTACATAAAATGGATCTGTTTCCTTAATTCTTTAGAGAACAGTAAAAAGCATGATTACAGAGCACTTTACAGTTAAACCACAAGAGATTTTGCAAATGCAAGATGAACTTAAAGGTTTCTTTTAAATATCTGGCGAATCCACAAGAGACAGACAGAATACAGCTTCTGGCTAGCATTTAAGACATAATTGAGACCCAGGAGCATTACATAAACCAAAATGCATACAACTACATCAAACCTGAGCTTAAAGGCCTCTAATGAAGGCAGGTCAACTGTCTTCAGAGTGTGTGTGTTCCTTTATAGAACAACTTGTACCACCAGGAAGTTCCCCTAATGTTTAGTTGAAATCCCATTTTTTTTTTGCCATTTGAAGCTAAGGGCTGTTTCTTATTCTATCCAAAGCAAAATAAAACAAAGTTGTTCCATCACATATAGGACAGATCTCAAAATATTTGAAGAAATCTATTTTCTGGCAATACCTTTTTAATAGTGATATCTACGTTCCTCTTTAAGACTTGCACGTTTCCAGTGTACTCATTCCACATTTTTGGTTACCCTTTTTAAGATGGGCCAAACACAATAGAGTGGCATACAGGTAGAGACATACATTCGTGTTTCAAAAAATGTAGATCTCTTAAGCGTCTTAGCTTAACAGATTTGTGCTTGAATTAGGCACTATACAATTATAGCAGTAAGATATCATTTAAACAGTCATGGGTCCATTCTGTGGAATCCTTGGATTTACATTTCAGTGGGTATTTAGCATTCATTGGTAGTCTGGGAGTCCACTCCTTTGCATTATAGATGATGGAGCCATGAGCACTAAAATGCTATTAAACTGCTACAACTCTGCAGTGTAGATACTACATTTTGATCAAAAAACAATAGAACCTCTTGCAATTTTGTTCCATTAGTATAACTATGTGCTGCACTTGTAACAGAGGTAAAAACCTGTAATACATATAGATTTTTATTTGTTGTTGTTTTTAAAAATCTTACATACCAGTCCTTCATCTCTTTGTTTGCTTTGACCTCGGTTATCTGAGTCCACACTGCCATATATTACAGTTCAAAGCAGATAATGTGGGATTTTCTGCCTTGATACTCTGGGTTATATGGCTGCTTGAAGGGCCCCAAGCCGGGGAGGAAAAAATCTGGAGGATTTCTCTGAAACAGTTTCTTAAACTATAGCACTATTTGGGGTATGTCACAACAGCAAGTTTCTGATTCTGCCTTTAGGACAGAAACACAAGAAGACAAATAGCTTCTATGTCATACTTAATCTTGCATTCCCATCTCCCAGCAGCTCAAAGTATATTTGTCCTATTAATTTTAGAGGTTGTAGGAAATTAGAATATTAAATGAGTGGTCACAGATATCACATAACTGTTTGAGTCGATGAATGATAATGTCTGTTTCATGAAACACTTCTCTGAATCACAATGCCACTTGTTATACTTTGGTCTTTAGAAATTCCACTCATACCTATTTCCGGTTTGTCAAGTAAGCTGACGAGAATGCGGAATGGTTTCAAATAGGCATTATGTTGTTCATCCAAATCTGATTCTGTAGATTTCTGGTGCAGGATTTCAATCAGTCCCTGTTAAACAATATCAAAACACTAATCTAAAGTAATAAGGAATATGAAAATACACAAATTGGACAAGAGAACACAAAGTGATTGGTGGTGCTACCACAAAAGGGAGCTATGATCTTGAGGTGAAAGGCAGGGACAGTATTTTCTACACTGCTTTGCCAACGATGAAAGGGTATATTAATTTTGCAGTAATATTAGGGCCAGAGATGAAAGGGTACATTGATTTTGCAGCCATATTAGCTTTCTGGCCTATTTCCTCCTTGCTCCTCATCCTTTCCAGAAAACTTGTTTCATAACCAGGTGCCACACCTTTCTTCATCTTGAGGGGACTTTACACTGGGTTGTTGTGAGTTTTCTGGACTATATGGCCATAGGCCTGAACCATTCTCTTCTGACGTTTTGCCTGCATCTATGGCAGGCATGCTCAGAGATTTCACCTGCATCTATGACAGGCATCCTCAGGGGTTGTGAGGTCTGTTGGAAACTAGGAAAATGAGGTTTATGTATTTGTGGAATGTCCAGGGTGGGAGAAAGAACTCTTGTCTGTTTGAGGTAGGTGTGAATGTTTCAATTGGCCACCTTGATTAGCATTTAATGGCCTAGCAGTTACAAGGTCTGGCTTTTTCTACCTTCCAGCAGACCGCACAACCTCTGAGGAGGCCTGCCATAGATGCAGGTGAAATGCCAGAAGAGAATGCTTCTGGAACATGGCCATACAGCCCAGAAACCTCACAAAAACCCTGTAAATTTGGCCATGAAAGCTTTCAACAATGCACTGGACATTCACATTTCCGAAGACGTTAAGGCATGGACAATTACATATGCGGGAATTTGTTCTCAAGCCAATTAGGATTTTAAAGGGGAAACCTAGTATTTTAAGGAGGCCCTGAAATTGATTGGAAACAGGCAATTAGCAATGTGTAGGCATAAAGGATGTGCTTTTAAAATTTAAAGAATACATTAAACTCTAAAATACATAAATAAATAAATTCTAGCACAATATTTAGTGTACATAATATTATTTTGTACTTTATGGTATCAACCAAAGTCTTGAAAGCTACATTGCTACATATTAAGAAGTTAAGAGATAATTTCTTATAACACAGGATGATTTTAAAAAAGGAATATTACTTATACTTACCTCAACTAAAAGATCTTTGGAATATTTTCCAAAGAAATAGAGGGCATGGTCTTCTTCAGACATGGAAATAGATGAATCCAGTACAACAGTACCTCCTTTGATATCGGAACCTGGAAAAGAATGAACATTTTAAATCCAGAAAATGTGAAAATGGGTGATACATAATAATCTATTATTGTCATATGATTTTATATTATCAGCACACACGATTATGGTGAAAGCTGTTCAGCTTTGATCTTTCCGATGACACAGCCAATGCTACCATGGTGTCAATGAAAGCCTTTGCTCCATCTGGTAAAAAGATTCATCCATGAAAAGAACGATACAACTTTAATACTGGATGACTAAAGTTATGATTGGAAGAAAGCTCATATATAATATGTTAATTTGATTTCTCTTTCCCCTCAGTCACTGCATTTGAGACTAAACAACATCAAGGATTTAATTCATGAGCCATGTAAAATGCCACTTCTGGACTGCGGCAAAATGAGACCATACCACAAATGTTATTATTTTATACAGTCATACCCACTTTTTTTTAAAAAAAACCCAACAACTTACACTGTCATGTGGATGTTTATTTTTGCCAGAGGGTGGAAATAAATTGAATAAACCATGTCCCAGATTTCTGTACATATCATTAAAAAACCCACATGATGGCGGGCATTCTTTTTCTTCACACAGAATTGTATGAATGCAAGGAAAAGAAACATAGGATTCTGCCTCACAATAAAAAATGAAGACCACTCCATCATGTCTGTTTTATCTGATGGAAATTTCCTAAACATATTTGGCTGAACAGCAGCTGCCCTCCTCAACCATGTATGGTTTGAATGAAACTACAAGGAGCTCCACAGAATATATTGGTTTTGCTCCTTCAATTCCCCTAAGAGTAAGACAGTCCAAAAATCAGCTAAAATTGCCCAGAAATAATACTACAAGTGAAGTAACAATGCATTGACTGTATGCAATAATGCAGTCTACTATATGTGTGTGTGGATGAGAGAGAGAGAGAGAGGAGAGAGAAATAGAAACTGGCTTCCTACTTTGGCACCCTGACTTGCAAAATTAGGAACCAATTATACTATTTTAATACCCCTTATTCAGAGATTCATAAAATAATTATCTACAGTAAACAAAAGACTTCAATTGATTTATGGTTTTACATTTCATGCTTCTAGTGAAGAGCTCAATTGTTCCAAAAGAGCAGATCTTCTCACCTCATTAGAAAATGCAGCTCCGTGTACACAAATCATGTACATGTAGGGGAATCCTTGTGCACATGCAAACATTTTAAAGGTGAATTTTAGGGCACTTCTCTACATTAACCTAAGAGTAATTAGCAATTATTTTATCATACCAGTGTTTGAGCCTGACAATATAATTGCTTTAATATGCTGACATTAAATGTTGCATTCTGCAACAGGCTAACCATTATTTCAAATGAAATCTGAAGCATATACCACTTATTTCAAGTGAGTACATGCAAATCCACTCAACTCTAACCACAATCGTATACACAGAGATAATATGACTATAATTAGCACAGTACCTAGTAACCATGCATATAACCTTCTGTTTAAGGACATATCCCTTCTTAGGAGAGTTTGAGCAGCTGCTGAGAGAAGATGGACTAGGTCAGCTCTAGATAGTGGAATGGCACTTTCATTGGGATCCTAAACAAAGAACAAACAAATCAGTTGTAAGTCAATCTTCTTCACCAAAAACAAATCGAAAGACAAAGCAGCTCATCCTGTCTCAGCAATAAAATATTTGGAACAATAAAATATTCACAGTGATAAAATATTTTCAACATATATACATCTTGAACTTTAGCACTGTAATAATTTGTTCCAACTCTGATAAAATTCTAAATTTATTCTTCATGCTGTTGACACATGGATCTTCTCTAAATCCCAGCTCCTACCCTCAATTCATGATTTATCTGAGCATTCCTTGAAGGCTAAGAAGAGCAGTTCCTAAACATGTCTAGCCACTAGGCTGGTGCAAAATTTTCTAAAGTGGGATTGAAATTCATAAAATCTGTACTTCCAAAATGATTTCTGACACGTGGGTGTAGCCTACACCTAAAACTTATGAATCAAAACTTCAAGGAAAATTCAAGGAGACAGCTCTTGGTTTTTTTTTTTAATTGTTCATAAAAATTTGGAAAATTCCCGAAAACTCCAAGGATAAGTGAAACATTCTGAAATTTGGTGGGCTAACAGTGGTAAATGTGATCTACACATTTACCACTGTTTCACCCCCATAGCTGTAAAAATGAGGCAGAAAGGAGCCCCTGAAGTTTCCCCAATTATAGTAATTAAGCACAATTACTGTCACAAAAAAGTAACAAAATTTTGTTACTCTTGTTATAGTAATGAAATTTTCACTAACAATGCCCTAGAAACACTTTAGAAACGCCAGCACTCCCTATTTTTGTAATGAGTTTTGAACCATTTGTTTATGGATTACACATGCCTAGCCACAAACAGCAGAAAAAGGTTATCTCCATTTGCTATCTTCCTCTTTATTTGAAGATCTACTCACTAAAAAACATAAATGCATCCTGATAAAGCAAAATGACTGTTTAGATAGTAGGTGTAGCAGTGAGTTACTTATAAACCAACGATTTTGTGCCTAAGCCCCTCTATCTCGCCACCACTACTTTTAAATAGTTTTAGCCATAATATGTACAGATTTGTAGTTAGATCCATCTTGACTAGTGCGTGTTTTTCTTAATACTGAAAAAGCCAAATAATTCTAAAAAATACTTGTGCGGGGAGAAAAGAGGCCAGAATCCAATGAAGTGGGCTTATTCACAGAAGGAACTACTTCCACCAGTGACAAGTCTTTTCCCTTGACATTCCCCTCATTATGCATATCAAAAACTAGCTCTGGAGATCTGGGGGGTGGGTAGTGGGGGGAGAAGGATCATGCTATCACATTCTTAATAATGGAACAAAGATAGCAAATCAATAGGAAGAAACACAGCATAAGGCAGCAGTTTGGTTAATGTATTTTTTTTCATTTATTAGAAAAAGTATTAAATAGATTTCCTGTAAATGAAAAGTTTTTAATGTTGTTGTTGCTGTTGTTAGTCAGGAAGCCTGTTCAACAGATTAAACTGTCTGTCCGTGCTTAAGTATACCATTCAGCTACCTATTGTTGGGCAATGTATGCAAAGTTTGAGAAAAATCTGAGCTAAGTAACTTTCCATAATATGACTCAATGAGCAGTTTTTTCACAGTTTCAGTACCTGACTGTGGACAAATTTGGGGTTAGGTAGCAATTTCTGTCTCTCCTGTCAGAGTAGCTAATGATATGGGGAAATTTTTGCCTTTTGTTGTATTGTGTAATATGGATTCATCGAGTCAGGAAGGAAATAGCTCCAGATGACTAAGAATCTTCTCTCTGATGCCAATTGGATATGCACCAAAAATGGATTTGGGAGCAGGTATTTGGTGGATGTACAGGCTGTAGTTTGATTCCTTTCGAAAATATGTTTTGAAAAGTAGAGTCCAATCTCGACATTTATTTATTTATTTAAAACATTTATATTCTGCCCTTCTCACCCCGAAGGGGACTCAGGGCAGAACACAGCATATATACGGCAAACATTCAATGCCGGGACAAGAATTCATTATATGCATACATAAACATTAAAAACATATCTCAGCATTAAAATACACTGTTTAAAACCGTCTCAATCATCTGCATCAAATCTAATTGAGCTGGCAAGGTTTCCTATTGATGCTTTACTGTACTGTCCTGAAAGCTTGGTCCCACAGCCAAGATTTTACGATCCTTCTGAAGGATAGGAGGGAGGGGGCCGATCTGATCTCACAAGGAAGGGAGTTCCATAGCCAGGAGGCAATCACCAAGAAGGCCCTCTCTGTCGTCCCCACCAATCGCGCCTGTGACAATGGCGAGATGGAGAGCAGGGCCTCCTCAGAGGATCTTAATCTCTGTGGTGTTTCGGGGGGGGGGGGGGGGGGGGGGGGATGTGTTCAGACAGGTAAATTGGGCCGGGTAGATACTCTGCCATTGATAAATACTTTACTCACCTAGCGTTAACAATATTAAAAAGTTACTAGTGAGCAGAAGAAGAAAAAGATGAATATGAGTGAAATGAGAAGGATTCTTTAGTAACTTTCTGTACATTACTGCTTTATCAATTAAACATCATCACCCATACTCCAGGCAAAACAATGTAGCACTGCAATGACTCTGATGTATGCCCTGTGAAGCTGTACTGGCAAGATAGTTTTCCCTAGCATTCATTTGTCAATGTTGGATCACAAATTGCAAATTGCTGAATTGAGGTCGCTTGCTTACCAGAGATGAATAAAATGGGAAGAAGAAGAGGACCACCTCCAAAATGTTTCTTTGTACAAGAACATTTGAATCCAGCATCGACACACAGAAAGCTTTGACCTGTGTTAAAATTAAAAAATAGTGTTGCATTTGATGAAAATGAGATCATATGGCTGGTCTGACATTCCATACCACATCATTTTACTGCTTTTGCTTAGCATATTGCTTTAAATTTACATAGGAGTGCAATAAAAATCTTTATTTCTATGTAACAGACAGATTATTGAGTAGTTACAATCGGAATAAGGAGGAAAGGGAAGGAATGTTCCTTATGTTTAACTGTAGACACAACAGGACAGTGCCTTTTTCCAGTTTTTATTTCCTATATTTTTACCTTGCCCTTCTCACCTCTGAGGGGGGATTCAGGACGGCCTCACGAAAGCATCACAGGATACCGACATCATAAAAACAATCAACAATCAGCAATACATTAAAATATTAAAAACAGTAATCAAAAACAGTTTTCCTCAGTTTTATCTCAACAGTATAAATTGTTTATCATACTAGCCATAGGCCATGACATCACATATGACAATATATAATCTTTAAAAGTACAATAAGCACTTTCCAATATAAACATTAAAACTTATTCCATATCCTGGCTCTTTAAAATTACAGTAGCAATGACATGATAACAATAACAATGTCTATTTTGTATCATCCCAAATTATATCCATTTCCATTTCTAGCCTCCACTGTGGACTTTACTAATTTAGCTCGGATTTCTTGGGCTGTGACTGCAAATGTGGCAACCTTTAATGTTATATTTTTGGAATAATCCGCTAACAAGTCACAGGTAACTGCTAACTGTTGCCATGCTGCCCTTTCTTCCAAAAGGGGTCCCAGAAGTTGTTTTTAGGGTCATTATACAAAGAGCAATGTAACAAATAGTGTATTAAATCCTCTCTTTTCCCCAATCCACAAATACAAAATAGTTGGGCATGCGGGATCTCTATATCTTTCCTCTAGCCAGCCTGATGGCATTGTTTGGAAGCATAGGAGTGTAAATGCTTTTCTAAGGACTACAGACATTAAGTCTTGAAGATATTGTTGACAATATTGATCACTCTTTAGTAGAGGATACCAAGTGGTGAAACCCTGCTATTTAGTCCACAAGTTGTCAGATGAATCCATCTCAAATATTTTGTCTCTAATCATCTTGTCCAACTACATTAGGGTTGTTTTCTTATCTCAACAGTCACTATGCCAAAAGCATAAAGAACTACAGTGGAAAATGACCAAATGTTGATATTTTTTACTAGCACCTAATTAGTAGAGAAGAAGTCTACTTGTCACCTTGGTTTGTTGTCTTAAACATCATATACCCAATGCATTTCAAGAAACCACTTTGCTTGATTATGTCACAACTTGAAATATGTTGAATAATATTTATTAAAAGAATAAGGCATCCTAAGTAAACTAGGGAAGAGAAACAATAGTGCAATGCCAGCTTGCAATGCTCCAGTAGACAGAGAACTGGGCAAAGAGCAACATACTGTGAATGACTCATCTAAGTCATCTGAGCCACAACACAGCTACTTGCCTGGTTAGAAATATATGTGCTTAAAATTTGGCAAGAGGAATGGGACTGCAAACACATAGCTAGCAGCATAAATCTCCCTTTAGCAGCCTGTTTCACAATGGGCTTACTCTAGCTATGCTACGATGATTTTGTTCATCACAGCAGAAAATCAAGGCATACACGAGGATTGCTGCTGGAGACAATGGTGTCTTTTCACAAGATGGAAAGTGACACATTTGTTTGGAAAATTATCTGGCACATATGGTTTTAGCAAAGTGGTGCAAAGAATGAATGAACAGAAACAGATAGCCTCTTGGCTTCTTGGAAGCAATTATACAGAACCCCTAAGTGTTGGGCATACACACTGGACTAACTACTTGTACTATTAATCTCAATGAAAACATTTCATATGCTAATACTTGTAAAATTCTGCCAATTCGTGTGAAATTGGCAGAATTTTATATTCAACAACGTCATGGTGAAGACAGCCAAATAAATCACCATGGATCCTGAGCACACACAAATATAAAGGGAACAAACTGGGTCCCAGGCTTGAGGATACTGTGGGATCCACATCACCCAAAGCTATAGCCATAGCCATACACAATTTCTTCTCTTATTCGTAGCAGAAGACAGCATGACGGTACTAGTGCTGAATGACAACACAAGACATGGCTTACTTTCCATAGCTAATGTAAAGAGCCATATTTTCATTCCTGCAATGGTTGCATGACAGCAAAGAAAGACACCCCCTTTCCAAAATAATCTGTGGAACAAAAAGAAAGAACATCTCCCCACTATAAACTTTATATAGTGCCCATTATTCATAGGTTTGTTGCTAATAACAACACTAACATGGAAAAAGAGTAAAGGTAACAGAGTTGGATCAGTTCCACTGTGATCTATGGTTTGGCCAAATACATTTATTGTTTATGTAGACACACACACACACCAGAATACTTTATTAGTTATGTAACCTACCGTGAGTTTCCCATCAGTGCCCAGCATATAATTTTGCTGCTTTCCAGATAATTCTCTGTTGATATGACTAACCACAAAAAGGGAGGCAGGTAACCTTATGGAAGGGCTAACGAGTACACTCCCCCATAGTGCTGAATAAAACACTTCTTTGCCAATTACTAGGGATAATTTCACAAGCAAAGCATCTGTTCTGTTAAAAAAAGAAGAAAAATTAAGTTATGTTTCTATAACAATACCATTAAGTTAAAATTCAAATACTTTTTGAGCAGCCATTGTTTAAAACATAAAAAAGGCAAGTTTCTTCCTGACTCATATAAAATTAAACCTGTAATTTTACATCGCACACCTGATACATAGTTTACTAGAAGGAAATTAAAATACACTGATTTGAAGTACAGATGTAGATGCATTTTGCTCTATCTGATCTAAAACATACACAACAGATTTGGGATTGCCACTGCATTAGTATTCCAGTGCAATCTATATTCCTCTCAATGGATGTTTCTACACATATTACATAAGGTGTTCAGGTAAATATGCAAAATAGAGAGTAATTAATTCTAAGTAACAAGGAGGGAAACAATTAAAGGATTGTGTTAGATTTCTTTTCTGGCTGAACTTAACACATGTCAGAGCCCATGATAAAATGAAATGTAAGTGTAACCAGACCATATATATGTGTTCTCCTCTAATTCCTTTTGTTCTTTCAACTTATTGGCCTCTAATTGGCTCTGTTTATGGCCATTTCTCTTCCACACTTCTCCTTCTTCATCAACTCAAGGCCACATAAGTAATGTGGAAGGGGGGAATGTATGAGTCACACAATGATTGCTCACAAATTGAATACATTAAGAAGACACTTTCCTTCCACTGAGAATTTTTTAGCCTCTGGGTGGTAAGAGGCATAAATGTAGAAGTAATCTTGCTTCTTTTGTTCAAATATAAGACCTGAGACTTTGAATCGGGGGGAAATACCCTTATTGTTATTTTTTTAAGGAAAAAAAAGTATTACAAACTCTCACAACCTCTGAGGATACATGCCATAGATGCAGGTGAAACATCAGGAGAGAATGCTTCTGGAACATGGCCATATAGCCCAAATAAACATACAACAACCCATTACAAACTCTTTTTTGAAAGGCACACTGAGCAGTGTTAAACGTCTCCTCCACAGAGGCTGAAGGCTATCAAAAAGACTGGGATATGAAATGGAGAAACCTCGGAAATTCCACATCTTTAGAAAAATGAATTCTCAGTGGAAAGTTATACTCAAAACCCCAGAAATAAGGGTAGATCGGGAGGCTCTGCTTTGTGAAGCTCTTTTAATTTGGACGAGCAGTATGTGATTCTTAAAGACATCGTTTTGTTACTCTGTTTCGATATAAAGGAATCTGGTAGATTCTTTAAGACTAACCAAGGAATAGAAGAAAAGAGATTTCTGTGAATCTATAGAAATACTGAGAAACAGAAAATGTTAGAAATTCTTTTTTTTTTTTGGGTGTAGATTAGAGGTGACATAGGATTCCTTTATATTTCTTTATGAGGAAGCTATAATAAAACTAAAGGAAGAATTGTGAAAACATGCAAAACCCTAGTTACATACAGATTAGACTACTATCATAAGTCCTTGAAAAGCATTTAGAAACTGCTGTTGCTGCAGAATGCTGACTGGAGCTAGGCGTTCAGAACGTATTACAACTATTTTGTTTGATCAGCACTGGGTGCTGCCATCTCTATGCTGAAAACAAAGTGCTAGCTTTACCCAAATTCTTCACCATTGTTTCTGCTAGGGAGGGCTACTGGAATCTGCAGTCCAAAAATCTGGAGCAATACATGTTTCCCAACAAGGTTTGGTACCCAAATCCTAGAGTACTCTTTTATGCGTACTCAGGCAGGAGTAGGCAAAACATGACACAACATATGACCTAATACATAGCCTTTCCAAGGTCAATGTTGTGGTTCACAGTGAGCCACAAAAATTCCATAGCAAACCAGAGAAAAAAACTTGACCATAGAGATCTATGGGCTTCAGTATATCCATGAAGCAGGCATTTCATTTCCTTCATGTCACTTTAAAAATCTGTGTTTAAGTATTTTTCCAGTTAGGGATCATAGACTCATAGAGTTGTAAAGCGATCACAAGGGTCATTGAGCCCATCCCCCTACCATTCAGGAACACACAATTAAAGTACCCCTGACAAATGGCCATCCAGTCTCTGCTTAAAAACCTACAGGGAAGAAGACTCCACTTCACTCCAAGGCAGTGAGTGCTACTGTTGAACAGCTCTAACATTCGGATGTTATTCCTAATGTTTACGTGGAATCTTATGGTGAATTGCCCTATTGATTTTATGTTAGTTATATGTTGTTGATTTGAGTTTCGGTTTATTTATGTAAGGCATTGAGTTTTGCCGTTATTTTTGTGTAAACCACTTTGAGTCCCCCCAGGGTTGAGAAAAATAATAAATTTCCCCTGCAACTTGAATCAAATGCTTTGTGTCCTAGTCTCCAGTGTAATAGAAAACAAACTTGCTCCCTCATCCTTTCAAACATAGCTATCATGTCCCCTTTCAGTCTTCTTTTCTCCAAACTAAACATACCCAGCTCCTTAGCCATTTCTCATAGGGCTTGGTCTCCAAAGGAGGTAAGCTACTTTCATAAGATTATAGGAATCCACAACTATGACAAGTTTTAATTAAAGAACAAACACTTGCTTCAAAGAAGAACTGTCACTTGGTGCCAAATTTTAGATGCACAGCAGAGATGGGGATGCAGCCCATGTTGGGTTTCCATCATAGCTGCCTTCTCCTAATCAAAGGCTTTGTTTGCAATCCCTTGATTGGTTGAGGTATGGCAGCCAGTTACAAGGAGCAAGGCCATCTCAATGGTGGCATCAATCCTGTGAAACGTCCTTCTAGGTAAGGATGTGCCATGTCTCTGCACTGAGTGCTTTTAGCTGTTTAGTTCAAAGAAGACCTTCAGCTATATTAGCAGATGTGCGGATGTACACACACATTTCATATTCATTCTGTTCACTTCAAGCTGCTTTTTAAATTTTCTGTTTTTATATATTTACTTGAGTTTTTGGCTTCTTGATTTTTTCCTACTCCATAAGGTAGGTCATGCTTTCATATATTGTGTAATATTTTATTATTATTAATTACATTAATTTTATTTTTAAAATTATTCTTATTATTATGTTTATTATTATGTTTATTTATGCCTTTCTTTATCTCTCCCAAAGGAGACACAAAGTGGCTTACAATTAAAAATATGACCACAGAATTTAAACTATACAAATAAGCAAGCATTAAACAGAATTAAACATAACAGCATTAAAATTCACAATTAAAATCCATTAAAACATATTCAAATCTAGAAATCATAGCACCCCCTGACTTACTCTTAAAAACCTTCTTAAGTCTCTTTAATAAGTAAGTCTCTTAAATAAAAGAAAACTCAAATATTTGCTGAGAAAACTCAAATATTTGCAGAGAGAAATTCTCCCTGCTGAGGCTTGATATGTCTTTCGGTATTTCCAAAAAATTTCCTTGCAGTTAGTGCCAGAGAGTACTTTCCTGCTGAAGTCTTATTGATCTTGCTAAATACAGAAATTGCTGGCCTGTTTATCTCTCCTGCCCTGTTCTTCTTTTAGAAGCTATCTTCTCCTATATCACCAAAACATCTGCAAGAAATCTTCTCTGTGACACTCAGAGGCGGCCCTAGGTAATTTTCGATGGTAAGCAAACAGTATTTTGCCCCCCATATTTGGTTCAATTCCGTCATTGGTGGAGTTCAGAATGCTCTTTGATTGTAGGTGAACTATACATCCCAGTAACTACAACTCGCATATGTCAAGGTCTATTTTCCCCCAAGAGCGCCCCTGGGCAAAACCAACTATACTGCGAATGCTTACTTTGCGTAATGGGTTGAGCCGCCCCTGGTGACACTGCATCTATGTTCAACTACTGGAAGGGGCTAAATCCTATTAAAAAGTTAAGTATTTTTTTGCAGTTTAGTGCTCTCCAAAAGTAGAAGACACTTACCTCTCATAGATTTCTGACCCTTCCTCTAGTCCAGGCAGAAGCCCAATTAAGAAGGCTTGGAGACTTGGCAGCAGGGACTTCTGAAGTGGGATAAAATACTTCTCATATAGACCAAGAAGAACAGGCCTTACTGACATTGCTGCATTTGCAAGCAAGGGGAACAGGCCTGAGCTGTAGGGGAGATAAAGAAAAAGATTGGTTGGCTTGATGGGGGAAAGAGTTAACTGATGGCTGAGCTTCAGTTAGACTTGGGCTCATCTTTTCCTCCTCTAACACAACAATTAACACGTTTTAAGATCACTCCAGCCTTCTACCCTCTTTAAACTCAAGCAAGCTAGGATTAGTCTAAGCCATCATTTGCTGGAGGAAACGAACGTCAAAGATGCCTTACTTCATCAAACCATAAAGACTAGCTGCAGGGAGGTACTGCATTGTAACTATGGTTAATCTAAAACAGAACCTTCCTTATTTCAGCTGCAGCTGGAGGAGCAGAAGGGAGGTATACAAGCTCCAGGTACACTCTAATTCTCATCTTCATATTGCTGAAATGTGGTGTGACTGCCACATCCAAACACAAAACTGAACGATTAAAAAAGAACCTACATTTCCATCCTACACTAGCATTATTGCAGCTAACCTGGCAGTTCAAGGCAGCTTAGATCTGCGGTATAAATTGTGAACTTCGAAGAAAAAAAGAACATTACCTGTATAGAAACAAGTCCTTTGCAAGCCATTTGGTTCCAATGATTTTAAATATTATTTCGTAAGTTTCTAGTGCTTTTAGATGCACTCCACTAGGTAAAGCTGGATGTAAACACTGAGACAATCTTTTGCTGATAATCAGGCGTCTTGGTAAAAGGGAATATTTCAAATTACTTTGAAGAGCCTGTAAAACAAGGGTGGAAATTGTATTACAACTTACATGAACACTAGTCAGCAAATAGTCGAAAAGCTATAGTTTAACAGAAATTCCTAGATTGTCACTTTGGCAACTTTGTTGTAAAAACTGTTTTGAAATACCAATATCTTGAAAGTGTCCTCAACTTCATATGCAACTTTACCACGGAATAAAATCTTGATTTATAATTCAAAAAGTGACCACCTTTTTTAAAAACAAACAAACAAACAATTCAGAAAGTTACAAGCACAATAACAGTAGCTACAGCTTATCAGTCACTTGTCTGGAAGGAGATGTTAATACAAATTAGAATAAGTAACCCTTTCAAGTATGTACTTGATCCTCAAAACAAGGCTATGCTGGCCACTCTAATTATTTGTTTGTGTCTTACATGTGAGAAAATTCCCTAGAAGTGCTGACACATTTACATGTAAGGGAGATTAAAAAACTGTACCATTTTGAGCTTTGGTCAGTTTACATATGAAAATTAAACAGAGCAACTCACACACCCTTAACAAATATTTTATATGGCTATCTGGATACTTACCCACACCCTTGGCAATTATGTCTTCCTTTTTATAGCAAGAATTATATTTACCAACATTAATTAAATTAATATAAATTAATTTATTATGTATTTACTATGCGCATTTATACCCTGTCCTTCTCACCCTCGAAGGGGGACTCAGGGCAGCTTTACAACAGGCAACCATTAGATGCCAAACAAATTCATTAAAATATACAGTTACAACTAAAACAGCAATTAAAAACAGTTATAAAACATTCAATTTAAAAGATTTAATTTAATTTCATCCTGCTGAGACCATCTCTTACATTTATATATTTAGAAATGTAAAGCATTATAAGCACAATATATCTTGTGGGCCAAACACTTGCCACCTTAGCCTTCAAGGGCAAGGAGTCGCCAAAATTTGGAGCAGCTACTCAGTAGACCATTTTTCTTGTCATCAGCAAGAACAAAACATGTGAGGATGATAGAAACAGGTCATAAGAAAAATATATCGAGCTATTTCTGTAAGAATACTGTGGAAGGCAAAGCACTAATAAAATGTTTACAGTTCAACAGCATTTTAGTTCTAGTCCTGAGCACAGGGCAGACATAGCTCTACAACTTTGGTCAATCATAGTTTGAGAAAAAACCTTCTCCACTTGATTTTAGTGCAGATGTAGACATGTCTGTAAAGAGACCATCCTTAACATTCCCTGAAACAAAACGATTTGAACGTCATTAGTCTCATGCTGCAGTGTCCCTAGAATTAACTAGCTGTCATGTCTACAATAGAGGATCCTGTTAGCAAGGAAGACTCCCTGCTCCAAATATGAGGATGGTGATAAATGGTTACTTCTGAGGAGCAAAGTCTCTCAAACTCACAGAAGAATTCATTCCTGAACTCATGCAGTGTGATCCTAGATCCCTATAGTCTACAAGAGTAGCACTATATCAAGGTCCAGCCTCAATTTTAGTTTACTAGATAGAATGCCCGGTTACACAGAGGTCTCCTTGGGAGTAAGAGTCTTCTTATGATTAAGAGGTTTGCTGAAGTTGAGGAGTCTCTTCCAGGGAGATACAATGCAGTAATATATTATATTATTTATTCACACACTTGTTTACATTCTAGCAACTCAGTCACAAAAACACCAGAGCTTTTGAAATTAAGGACAAACATGTTATTACTTATCTTAGGATTTAATAAAGTAGCTCTCCAAATATTGCTGAACTGCAACTCTCTGCAGCCCCATCTACCAAAACCAATGGTGAGGAACAGTAGATGTTGCAGTTCATACACATCTAAAGGGCTACATGATTTCCATCCCTGCTGTAAAGAAGTCTCCACCAGTAGTCTTTCTGCTACATTCTAGACAAAATACAGTCTCTAAAGACTCAAAGGTACTCTTATCTAGCTGCAGTAATCCAATCTAGATATAAGTGAAGCATTGACAAGTCTGACCTCATTTGCAAAGGACACAGATGACATATCATACATGGGAAAAACACTCAGACACAACCAGAGTATCTAGCTTCAATCCAAAACTGTTAACCTACGGTATCTCGTAAAAGGGAGTACTACTCCATCTAAGATTAATTTAATTTCCATTCCTGAGTCAGTCTGCCTTGTGACCAGAAGCATCTCTGTCCAGCTTGATTAATTTAGCTTATTAGCCCATTACTGCCACTAAAAGACCAACAGCAGCAACTTCCACAACACCGTATGAAGAGGAGAAATATAAACCCCTTCCCAGATGCTCTCTCATAGCAGTTTCATGCAGATGTGGGAAGTAAAATAAAAACTGGAAGCACATCTCACATCAGTGCACAAGACTCCAATTAGAATCTCCTGAAACCACCATTTGCACTGAACCACTGAGGGAAGACTGGATTACTATAAATGGTAATTCCCAAATTCATCCTTACAAGGCAGTTGACAAGGATATCAACAGAACTCACAGGGACATGCTTCTACAAGATGGATTGTCTACTAGGGCAACCAAAGCTGCCTGAGTTACAAACCATCTGGAAAATCTATGGACTATAACACACTGGAGACTAGCACAATGAACACAGCTTTATTTAAAGTAGAAGCTTCATTTCAGACACTTTGAGTCTGAAAGACATAAGCCTTCTTTCTAAAGATGTCTTTAATGTACCCACCACCTAGTCAGTTCTCCCCTGTCTACTGTAATGAATGAGAAGAGACCAGCATCAAGTCTACCATATTTTCAGGCATTTCAGGGTAACAATTATCACTGGTTAAAACTATAAACAATATTCAAGATATATAAATCATTAAAATAGCAAACAGGATATAACAAAGTAGCAGCAGCAAATAAAAGAAACATGATTGTTGGTGCATTTTGCATAAATTGTACTTTCTCACCAGTATTTAAAAGCAGTCCCAAATAAAACATGTTACAAACAATTGTGATTGGGTGTAAATAGGTCAGTCATAGAATCGACTCATAGAGTTGGAAGAGACTTTGTGGGCCATCCAGTCCAACCCCCTGCCAAGAAACAGGAAAATCACATTTAAAACACCCCCGGCAGATGGCCATCCAGCCTCTGTTTAAAACCCTCCAAAGAAGGAGCCCCCACCACAGTATTATAAGGGCAGTTTTTCTCTAGGCAAGGCTGCAGTTAATGGACAAATTGGTTGACAAACTCCAAATGTATTAGCTATTGCATCTCCACAGAAAGCTCCAAGTCAAAGAGGTCTCCCAAGCTGTATTCTTAACTCACAATAGTCATTTTGTCTGAATTGAACTGCAATTTGCTTATCTTTGCATATTCACCTGTCCCAGTAATTGTCCAGTGAAAAATGTCCAGTCACTACTTTTTGGCAGAATATTTTCACACATTACCAGTTATGAAAAGGTGCTACACTGCCTCAATCTGAGACTGAACTAAGTAATGCAAGGGACTCTACAAAGAAGCTGCTCCCCAACAACCTCAATAGAAGATAAGTTTTTTGAAGTTCATCAGGCATGCTAAAATTTGCATTCAGTAACTTTCCCCTTACATTTTATGCAATTTTAGGTTCTTGTGGGTTTTTTCGGGCTATAGGGCCATGTTCTAGAGGCATTTCTCTAGAGGAGAAATGCCTCTAGAACATGGCCCTATAGCCCGAAAAAACCCACAAGAACCTAGTGATTCCAGCCATGAAAGCCTTCGACAATACATTTATGCAATTTTAATCATAACTCTAAAAACATATCCCACACTTAGAAATATTTAAAGATAAGTGCTGATTTCCACATAAAGGTTTGAACTTCTTTGAATGTAACATTTAACCCATTGGTTCCCAATCAATCATTTCACTTCCAATACTTATGTTATACTAAAATTTAGTTTACTAAATATGAGTCCAAAAAACTCACAAGATAAGAACATACTCTATTCATAGCAGAGATTGGCTACTGTGGCAGATAAATAAAGTCAATAAAATCAGAAAACCACTTTTGATTTTGAAAAGCACTGTTAAGGTATATGAGGGTGCATGAAATTTATAACAAAGACAAACTGTAGCACCTAAAGTCTCAAGGGATGTCATTTACTCTTTAGTAGCTATAGGAAAAAATGAGAGTTGGGAGAAATCAGCTCCTACAAAAACAGCCTTGTGGTTCTGTAGTCCCATAACTACACTTGCCCTACTTTTGATTTAGGGATTGGTAAATTTCGCAGTGCAAAGTTTTCTGGAAAACCCCTATCACTAACTCTTACTGGTGCTGTCTATAGACCCTGGTTCATGGTGATACTGATACTGAAACAAAGACCTATAAACTTACATGTTTTTATTATCTGTGTTGGCCAGCTTGTTCTATATTATACTGTATTTTATATCAATAATTTGTTTTACAATTGTATTATATAGTGTTGTGTTTTTATTATTTCTTCCTTCCCCCATGTATGTATATACACATATATTGTATATGGTGAGCCTCTTAAAAGGATTTGGTGCTGCTTATTGTGTTACTTGTAAAACAGCACATATATTGTCGGTGATATAAACAAGGATAACAACAGGAACAACTTAGGTATAAAAAGCAAAATGTGGATGGGGCATGTAATGGGAACTATCAGTATTAAATACAGAATACCTCATTTAAAGGAAATACTTTCAGCAACAATTAAAGAAGGAAGGCTTGAAGTGTATGTTCTTAATTCCATGTCTGCAAATCAACAATGTTCTAGAAAAGTAAGGTACATACACTACTTGTCATCAGAACAGTTTAGCCTGGCCAAGTTCTGTTATAAAGTCAAGGCTGTCAACTCTACAATGCTCTTTATCCTGTTGCCAGTTTAGCTTATGGAACTAGATCTAATTAGGAACAATTACCTTTCACTGACTGCAACACTAATAAGCTATTTCAGACCCAAAAGCTCATTGTGTAATTTATTATCTGGACCTCAGGAAGCAGTAGTCAAGAAACAAACCTACTTTCCTAAATCAAACAGTCAGTTCCAAACTAGA